CACACACACACACCTCTCTCTCTCTCTCTCTCTCTCTCTCTCTCTCTCTCTCTCTCTCAAATAAATAAAAAAATAATAAAAAAAAATGAAAAGAGAATAACAGCAAGGCATAAGGGTGCCATTCATTCCAAGAACTCTGATTCTTCATTTCATTCTTTGAAAAAAAAACATTTATAGCACCTGAGAAAATGGAGAATGGTACACAAATAACGGTCACTTTTTGAAGTGAAAACCTCATGAAATATTCTTAACACTAAGTACTCTCCCAAAACATGAATGCTGCTCAGATTTGAAAATCTAATGTGCCGAGGACTGCAGCCCAAAATGACGACCGCTAGCTCCAATCTATGAAGGCAGTTCGGAGCACGCCTTAAAAGTGATGTCCTCAAAAGAGTATACCACGTGATTTTTAAGATTTAATGATTTTGTGAAAAAAAAAAAATTGAGAAAATCCGGTTTGTTCAGTACTTTTTTTTTTTTTTTAACAGAGCTTCAGCCTTTTACATGTTAATGTAACTCTACTCCAGGCAAGGTAGGAAATAGCGCACAGGCACAGCGTCTTACTTAGCCAAGCCTCCTTTCCATCACAACACAAGGACACCTTCTGAAAACAGCGTGAGACTTAGTTCTCCAGTGAAGAGCTCCTTCTAAAGGAGTGCTCAGGCCTGCTTTCCCAGGTGGTAGCTACCACTTCCCAACGGTGGTCGGGGACAGACACACTTGTGTATGTTATCTAATGTACAGTGAGCACTTTTAAATTATTTGAAAAGCTCATTATAAAATGATATACAACAAGAATGTGAGATTCTCAGCAAATATAGATTTAACAGGTTTATGACCATATTATACTGTTGACTTTCACTGACAGCTCTCAGACTTTCCCTTTTTTTCAGACAAGGTCTTGCTATGTTGTTCAGGCTAGCCTTGAACTCTGTGTGACCCAGGCTGGCTTAGAACTCACAGCAGTTCTCCTACCTCAGCCTCATGAGTGGTGGGATTACAGGCACACACTGCCATGCCTGGCAACTAGCCTTTGCCTATTGTAAGAAAAAGACTTTGGGGGAAGAATTAAGATAAATGATACACTGCACATTATACCAAAGATTTATTAATAATATCCTTTTTTTTCTTTTTTGGTAGTACCTGGCATAGAACTCAGGACCCTGTGCTTGCCAGGCAAGCACTTATTCTACTGAGCTATCTCCTCGGCCCCAATCAATAATAACCTTTGACATTATATTTTCCTACTAAAATCCTACTCATCATTACTTTATATTTTTTAAATTCTTGTTCTACTTAGATAATATCTACTAAATTAAACATTAAACAAATAATAATGACAAACGTAAAAATTCGTACAAATTTCAGGGGTCTTCCATGGAACTTCACTCGATGGAAAAGCAATGGAAGCAAGAAATTCATCCACCTGCTTTAAAGACAGGGCATTGTGAAGGGTTTCTAGAGGACAAATAGACGGCACCATAGAATACAATTCAAAGCCTGTAAGAGAAAAAAAGAAAAGTGAAAAAGTAAAGTTGGATATTTCAAAAACCAGTAATTAAAAAGGAAGCTGATCATTGCTTAGAACTGGACATTTCGGTCTTTTCACTTATCACACATGCAAACATACGAGACCTCTCAAGTCATGACGCCAGATGCTATGCAATATAGAACTGAAACAAGATGTGACAAAGATTTCATTTTAAATATAAAAATAAGCACATAGTACAGCATGCACACAGTTTCTGTCTATACTGGTAAAATCTAAGAGTAAGAATGAAAGAAAGAAACCTAGGGGAAGAAAAGAAAATTCGGTTTTTGTTTCTTAAAATCAAGTATATTCAACAGATGAATAAACTGATGGTATAAAGTGTCCCTGATGTCAGGACACTAAAGTAATCTGTTAGAAAATAATTATGCAATTATTTGTGAAGTGTGATTTCACACTTTTCTAGGTGTGCGAAGGCGGCACTCCTGTCTGATGTGATCATAAAACAACAGTCCTTCACTTCTGCTGCTATGAAGATTCTGAAACATGTTTCACCTACCTTACTGAATTAACACCAATGATTCTATTACTGGAACTCACTGGGTGAGTAACATTAGGCCAAGTAAAAAGCAATACAAATCACAAATACATTCATATTTAACAATGGCACAGAAATACAAAAATTTCATGGAACGATCATGCACCTAGGTATTAATAATATCAATGAAACAAAAGCACTTAACCAGTCATTCCTTTTCAACAAACAGGCTATTCACTTTTAAAAAACATTGTCTATTTATTTAAAATTATTCAACTGAATGGCTTTCAAAATTGCTTTCACATACTGCTAAAATAACATGTCTTTCTGCATCTACTCAAACTGATTCTCCTTCAAAAAAACACTTTAAAAAATTAAACTTACGTAAACATCCAATACCATTAATTAAAAAGTTAAACTGAATTCCGAGTGCATGGCACATGCCTGTAATCTCAGCTCTTGGGAGGCTGTAAATAGGTGGATCACTATGATTCTGATCTAGTAGTGAGACCCTGAATACCCTGCAGACCTTCCCTAAAAACAAAACACACACACACACACACACACACACACACACACACACACACAGAATTTAGATTGCAAAATAGATTTCTTGCTACAGTAGATGCGCACTAGTTTAAAATGTTCAGTCCTTTTACTTAAAATTTGGCAGGACTTATTGACCCCCAAACCACTGCAATTCTCAGAAGGAAAGGTAAATTGCACTGATTAAAAGGGAATCTAATCTTCTGATGAAAATAAACAAGGCCAGGGCCGGCCAGATAGCTCAGCAGATTAAAATGCTTGCTTTGGCAGACACAGGGACTGAGTTTGATTCCCAGTGTGCCCTGCTGGCCCCGACCCTGGGGACACACTGAAATGTGAGTGAGACTGGGTGTGGTGGCGCACACCTGTCATCCCAGGTTTGGGAGGCTGAAAACAGGAGGATCACTATTGAGTCTGATCTGTGTAGTGAGACCCTGAGACCCTGTACTAAATATATATTAAGAAAAAAAAAAGGAAGAAAGAAAAGAAACAAGGCCTTAGAACATTGGTATGCTTGACTTTCAGGTAAGAATCAAAGCATGACAGAACATTACACAAACTTGAAAAGAAAACTATAATACTGTAATAGCAGCTAAACACCTAAGTTAGCCACTAAAAAAAAATCAAGCTTGCACAGCTGTTAACATTTCTTTTTTAAAGTTCAAGATCCATGCAAGTAAATGCAAACCCTTTCTTTGTATGACACTGAATAGAATATATTTTTCTCCTTTCCTCGTTTATAGGGCTTTTGTTAAGACTTTCTTTTACTTGCCTGTTAGATTTTATAACAAGCAAATGACAATAGGATTATGTTGCTCAGGACATTTTCCCCTTTATCTTCAGGAAGCTTTTCTTTTAATGTACAATGAAAGGGTTAGCACAGCAACTTCAGAAGCCGCCCTGCTGACATGTTGAGAAGCTAAAAAACATACCCCTGGAGCCTAGCCATCCCACAGAGGAAGTAGACCAGCACCTCTAGAGGTGGGGGCGTTCTGCACAGAGGCCCAGAAAATAAGGTAGAGCACTGGCAGAAGACACTTGTTTCACCATGCTCCTCGAGCTAGAGGAAGGAAGGCTAAGTCCATGCCACGCGTGGCAGACGGAGATCACAGCGAATTTAGAAAAATAAAAAGTAAAAGGAAGAGTAAATGACAGTGGATAGGACAGATAAGATAACACAGCATAAAAAAGAAAAAAGCAAATCCTGAAAGCCCAAAAGTCCACATATTTCTAGAACTGAAAGGAATGCATTTTATGTGTATTAAATGGTATAATGTGTGGAAAAGCCACATTTTCTTAAAAAGTCTAAATTAGATGAATACAGAATTACTCTACTTTAAATTAAATTTATCAAATTATTAATTTTTATTTTCAGCAAACATAGAGTTCTCCTATGTAAAACCTACAACCCTAGCTTTAAACACATAAGCATTTGGTGCAAAAACTAGAGTCTTAAACTTGTATTCTTTTTGGCAGTACCAGGGATTGAACTCAGGACCTTCTGAGCTATCTGCCTGTCCCGCCCCCTTCTTAGCATGAGTTCTGCATTCTCTGAGACCTCTCTTTTTCTTCTAAGAGGCCCTCATTTATATGATAGCTTTAGTAGCTTCAGCTATATCAAATGAGCATCTTTTTCTTCAAAAAGAAGCATTTAAAGAGCTACAATAGCACATGAGGCTTTAAAGTTACATTTTCACTTCCTGAGGAAGAGATCTTCGTATTCCACCTTTAGGAAAAACTAGTGCGCTGTTACCTAGACGTGTTGTTAAAGGAGCCACCTGGGAGGGAATGCCGTAAGCTTGTGTTGCATCCCAGAGATTCACAAAAGCTTGAGTACGTTTAGAGCTACTTGTGGTTAAAAAATAAGAGTGACAAAAAAATTACCTTGATTCCAAATAAAAGCAAAAATTCATAGGTTTTAAAAAAACTTATTTGGTTCTAAAGTATATTTAAATGATCAGTAAATATTCTCTCTTGTCCCACAAGATCAACCTTAAAAGTAAGCTATAACACTAATAATTCAGCTTCTAATTAACTGTCACAAATTTTGTCTATTTAGCCCCCAAAATGTAATTGAATTGAGCTTCTAAATTTTAGGTCTTCTTCCCATCAGGAATCCACATCTGGAGAAGAAGCGGTGGTGCTAAGAGGAATCGGTTGCCGGGAAACGGCAAATTGTGTAGCTCCACAAGGACAAAGCGAGCGCTGACAGGGTTGAGTGCTCCAGACCAAGTCAAGTTTTGCTTAGACCAAGAGGTAAGGACAAATAATGCGCACAGTGAGACCTGCATATTCTGGTTTCCAAGAGCTTTTCAAGACACTTTTCATTTCACTATTTAAGATGGGTCGTTTTATGTATTCGTTACATATTTTAATTAAAAAATCGTGATCAGAAAAGGAAGAAGAAAAACATTAAAATTATTAAGAACAAATTAAATAGCAATGGCTGAATTTAAAAAATATGTGTCAACTGATCACTTGAGAAGTTAGAATTTTTGGGCATTAATTTAGATTAAAACTCATCAATCATCATTGCCATTTAAAAGTCTGACGAGCAACATTAAATTATTGTGTAAATTATAACTAGAAAGGGAGCTAGACAGTATCAACAATTTGAGTAAATTGAAATTATATGCCAATTGAAATTAAGGATGAAGAAATGAATGATACTGCACACCCCATATTGTGAAATCAAAGAAAAATTATAAAGGGATGAAGCAGGGGAGTATCTTTTAAAATAAAAGCAAAACGTACCATTGGTTGGGTGTCGAGCAAATGAGATAGAAAACCTTTTAACAGCAGAACCGCGTGTGGCGTCTGAGAAAGAGAAAAACAGGTACCTGAAATCTGTAACAGCTACCAAAAGAACACTTAAGAAAAGAGGGAAAAACAAATATATGAGGAGGTTAGAATTAGGTGACGTGTGGAAAGGACAATGAGAGAAGGCAATAAGCCAAATACTGGTGAAAGCAGTAAACTGGCTTGATGAAGAAGCAAAATGTTTAATGAAACATACAAAAAAAAAAAAAAAAAAAAGACAAGCAGGATGAGCTGGAAATTTTGCTAAATCCATGTTTTACTGACTAGAGCAAATGTACAGGTATGTGAGCAAATTTTTAAATAATGTTGCTCTTGAAAGATCTGAAATCATCTCCCTTATCAGCAAAAAGATTTGAGCCAAAAGGCATTCTGAATATCAAAATATCAAAACTTAAAATACACTAACAATGACAGGATCTCCTATAGCCAGGAATCCTAAAATATTCTCATTCTATATTTTTATAAAAATATTGCCAAGATATTTCCTCCATTAATAAATATTCTATTCACTTCAGTTCAAAACTGACTAAGTAACATGAAGATGAACAACAAACAAAGTTCAAAGAAAATTTATTCTTTATAATACGTATTCTCAATTTCATAAAAGTAAAACACACGTGATACAGGTCTAAATTTTCCATTTAAACCAAGTATTCACTGTTGAAGTCTAGCTGTAATTAACTGATGCAACATGGATCCAAACTATAGGTAAGAGAGCACTGACAGTCGTGTAGGTGAAGGGTGCGAGGACTGCAGCGGAGTTAGTGGCCTTAGACTGGAGAACTGCAGCTCCTGGGTGTGTGCGTGGGTGTCGGCACGAGTGTGTGCGTGCGTGTGTGCACATACCATCTATGCAGCCGGAAGAGGTCAGCTTTTTACGATGAGTACGAGCATAGTCCTGCAGGTTGGGTGCACTTGAAGAACCCCCGAGCACTGAGGTGCTAAACAGGCCCGCACAGTGAGACCCTGATGGGAGTCAGAGAAGATACATACAGCAACGGGTGTTCTTCCATTCACATTGGGAACTCATGCAGCATGCAGTTAACACGGCTCTTACCAATACACAGGCGGCCCTTGGCAGGACCTTGCACAGGCTCACAATATGCTGGTAATGTCCTCGGGATATCAGTTTTAATACAGTGCTTCTAATAACCACCACCATGTATTACATGTGCAAGTGGGCTGACTCAGCACTGCATAAAATGTTTTCTTTGAGGAAATGTAATAAGCCCACACAATAATTAAATATACATATCCTAAAAGCATTAAAAGCACTATCCTAAAAACTAATCCAGAAGAGAAGGGATTCTGACAATCAATTTACAACAGTAGGCTACGGGAAAAGACAAAAACAAAAACCAAAACCTTTCCTAGTAAAAATTAACCTATATTAAATCAATACTTTTGAATGCAGGCCTGCACATGAAGAATCTCTTGTGATGCCCCTAAGACATGTCATCATCCTTATGAAACAATGGACATCAAAGCTTGTATGCTGGTGATAGCAGGCCAAATAACTCTGCCTCAGTCACTCAGGCCTAGTCAATGTTCAACTGAACTTAACAAATGACTTAAGACATTAACTAATGATACCCCTGATAAAACACATCATCAGCAAATAAAACACAGCCAGTGTAAAAGGACGCTTCCTTTGAAGCAGAAGTCTTTACACTCGGGCAGAACTTCATCTACTGGGGAAAGATTAAATGAATTTTTATCAACTATATTATAAAATTCAGTAAGAAAAGATAATACGTAAGTTCCCATAGAGATATAGTGGGACTATCAAAAGCTATCAATGTATGTTATATGTACTTTTAAAAAATTCTTTAAATATGTAGGAAGGCTTTCTCAATTGTTTGTCCTTTTTGTCTTCTTCATTTCTTATGTTTCTTTTTTTTTTCTTCTTCCAATTTTACATGCATGTATCTGGTAATATGAATAACTGGTTGGAAGACAACATTATGCATTACAACACTGTGGAACCCATATTACTTTGTTAAGTGAAATTCTGTATCACTTGTAATTTTTTTTGTTTTAATTCTAAGTTGTACTCTAAAAAATAAAAATATAAAAAAACTAAATGTGTAGGTATCAACAGAATTCATATCTTATTATAAAGACTGCAGGATAGTTTAAATTTTCAGTGAAATCTATTTTGTTTTTTTAAACCTATTTAGACAACTGTTCATGGACAATAGTATGCCATTAACTCCTATTGTTCATCATACATGAGCTTAAAACCAGTGAACTTGGAAAAATATTTTCCAATGTTGCTCTGAGTGTTGGCAAAGAAACAATTATGTTCTATAGCTCAATAAAAGTCTACCCTTCTACATTAGTTTTACTTTGGTTTTCCTTAAAAACTGCTCAAAACAAAAATTAATAAAACTGGAAAGTATTGGAAACACCTAAAAATTTTTCTCTAATCAGAAAAAGGAATGGTTCTTCTTTGTATGCAATCAGATCTTTACATACGTATCAACTAGGTAAATAGTTTTTAATCTTAAATTGTATAAAATTAAAAACTAGCATTGACAAACAAATTGGTTATCATAGTGGACAAAAGCTTACACAACAAAATTAAATGCTACTAACATCAAAACTTAACTGTGTATTTTGAGATGTATAGCTCCACATTCCTTGGTTAGTATGCACTGAATACAGACTAAAGCATAGCATTTGGTCATGTTTTCTCCACTAAAGAGTTTTCCATGTTTGCACAGTTTTGAGTTTAAGAGGGAATGAAGCAGTTTTCCTTACACCACATACCTACGGTAGGGCTCTGCTTCTGTTCCACGAGAGTTCTTGGGGTTCGAAGGTAATTAGCATTTTCAGATACAACCTGCACAAGGAAAGCAAAATAAATGAAGCAAAAGGGTTTAAAATACATTCAAAAGTCCATATGCAGCCTGTTCCAGACAGACAAGGTTAATAAGCTGTATGGTAAATATTAGTAGAAATATATAAGATACAAAAATCATGCAAGATCCCTTCTGAAGGGAGTCCATTTCATGTCAGGGCCTTGCAATGAGTGGTGCGAAGCAGGCATTCAGAATGAAACATCATGTATGAAATGAGACAGATGAAAAGAAACAATTAATAGATAGATACAATTTCACTCTCTCTTAAAAGAAGCAAAATGCCCACTCTTAAACAGCTCCTGTATTTTAAGGGGGGGAAAAAACAACTACAAACAAAAGAAAAGACAGACAGACTGCTGAGGTCACCATACAATTACTGATCCATGCATGGGCTTTATCAGAGTAACCGTTAATAGTCACAGCCTTAATGGATACCATAATCCCTTTTCCTATAATCAAGCATATTACATTTCCAAAAGGAAATTGCTGAAGTTATCAGAAAAGTCACGTGTGACAGCGGATCTTCCATTAAGGTTCCACGTGTCATCACAGAAAGTCCTTCTGAAGTCATTTTAGTTTTGAGCCGGATTGCTGGTAGATGCACATGCAGCTGGCCCTCTCATCAGGTACTTCCAGAAAAATGACAGTGAGGGACGGAACGGTCTGTATTAGACCTAGATGGCTGATTAGCACTAAGTCACATAAATTTTAATATTTTAAAGAATGTTTACATTGTCAGCAAATTCCAAATGGAATCAAGGTTTCAATTATAGGTGAAGAGTTAGTAAATTTTCTTACCATCAAATTACATGGTTTTGTTTCTGGAAGTTTTAAAAGACAACTAAAGTCAAAGAAAAATTTATTTCCTTTTTACATAATTTTATTAGCAAGCAGAAGTTCCAGGAGAATAACATTTATTTTTTGAATCCTGGATATATAAAACCTGCCCAGTAAAAATGTTAAACACATACAATGTCAGTGGTTTCTTTCCCTCAAATATTATGGGATCTCATAAATATTTTTAAATGAACTAAAACACAGAAGGATTTACTCTGATGAGAAACACAAGGGATTAGATGCCCTCCAACACAGCTGTTTGTTGCTCTGAATGTGGGGAAGAAAAATGTTTAATGAAGTAAAGTTTAAAAACCTGTTGCCATGAGCCAAAAATACTGGATGTGAAAGCCAATGATTTGGGGGAGACAGGGGAAGAAGTGATTTGTTCCCCTGATCTGCGTCTTCGACGCCCAGTACCCACACCACTGGTGTAATGCAGCCAGGTACCAGTACCCTCTGGGCTAGACACACTCAGGGGGCTCTCTTCCTGGAAGTGAGAAAGGGGGCAAAAAAAACAAAAACAAAAACAAAAAAGCAGAGCATGCAAAGTTAGATACAACAGAGCCAAATGATCAGAAAGAAAAAAAAAATACAGTTCTCATTTGCTTATCAATTTTTAAAAAAAACTATTCCACTAATTTGGGAGCCAAATATTACAGTATTTAAGAATTTGACAGGAATGACATAAATTTAATGGGATAACAACTATAAAAATACATTACTAAGTCAAAGTATCTAAAATACTTACATAGCTTAAGTTGTCCCTTCTCTCTTAAAACTAAAAAGATTTTAATGTTCTTTTGGCAACTGTTTAATATAAAAGTATTTTGTTTAATTTTACATATTCACAAGATCTAAGTTTTGGATAAATTTTTCAATACAAATACTAAAGTACTGTACATAAGGTTAAAGAAATTTCAGTGTACATAACCTACACACATCAAAAAAAATCAGATTATAAAGTGGATACATATTATACTTGTCTATACTGGCAAGCTATCATTTGATTATACCCTCCAAAGATTATTTATCTAGGGCAGCAGGCAAAACACACAGCATCCATTCTCAGTTTACATGTCTGCAAGTTCATATTTCAGATAACGAGAGAGAACAGGGTGAAATCTACTTGCACACAATGAAGAGAAGGGCCTTTCTTTTTGTATCTTTTAGGAGTACAAACTTCTGACATCCATGGAGATGGTGAACACTGGAACAGATCTTCAAGGTTTAACTTGAATAATTTACCTTATGAAGTAAAAGTTTAGCACGGCATAGAAATATCTCTTGAAAGCAACTATTTAAGTATTCGTGGAAAAACAAATTAAAATATGTCCTATGTTTTAAGAACTAGCAAGGGCAGTGACGTTAAAGGCTTTGCAGATACAGATGAGTGATAATACAGGAAGGTTTACACATCATTCTGGCTCAGGGTTATGCAAACTTTTAAGAGGGCGAAAGAAAGGGCTTTGTAGTAAAACTATTACCAATTAGATTGCAGACCGCTAGCTGAACAACCCATCAAAATCACTGCCCTCATATGTTTGGTTTTTTTTTTTCAATAAACTACCAATAGTGGTTTTAAGTCATTTGCCAATTTTCTGAAATTCAGGATATCTGAGTACAACCCTAGATTTCTTATTTTTCAAATAAGGTAAAATAGAACAGATAATTTCAAATTCTATAACAGTACTATTTTTTCAACCACCCTTTAAAAAATAATTGAAAATATCAATGTTCTAGGTAACCCTAATACGTAAACTTTTTCCATGAAAGTTTTAACAGGATATTTTATTGATAGCTGTTGTTCTTGTACATAACCATCAAATTTACATTTTATAAAGATATGTTTATGCCATTTGGAGCTATAGAAACGAGCACAATTCTTTTTGTTTATATTCTTACCCACCAACTACTAATGCTATACCTGATTTAGATCTGGAATACACATATGTCAACAATAAATATTTCTAACTTAAAAGTTTATGGTTCTTTCTATGTTAAGTTTAATTTCTCCTTTTACATTTTTATTAGAACATTTAGAAAAGACTTATAAGCACTGACCTCAATCAGTACTAGGAGAATAATCCTACAGAGAATAGATAATTGAAAGTAAAAGTTTAAAGAGTAAATAGGTATTAAATATTTACTTAACAAACTTCATTCCAACTGCTTAACATTACTTTTAAATGTTATTTGAGGAGTTATTTAATATTATTCCATCAAAGAGTTTAAGAGTCTAACTTATTTAATTATAGATCTTAATACAAAAGAAAAATTTTCAACTATTATCATCAAACTTTCAAATCTTTACTGAGATTTTTGCAATGATGCTCACAATTTGAATTTTAATTTATTTTTTGTTGTACTGAAAATTGAATCCAGGCCCTTGCACAGGCAAACACTTGTTTCCTAGTACTGCTCCTTGCTCTCCTTTTCTGAGAGAGTGTCTCAACAAGTTCACCAGGATAGGCCTTAACTTGCAACCCTCCTCACTCAGCCTCCCAAGTGACTGAGAATACAGGTGGGAACACCATACCAGATACATTCAGGAATTAATAACTTAATCTGCAATGGCACTTAATCAGTTATTATTTAAACATCTCTGGCAATGCCTGCCTAGTTTCAATAAAAATTATTCCTGGTCTTTTAAGACTTTTTTAAAAGCTCTTTAAGGAAGAACAACCTCACACAACAAGATCAAAGAAAAAAGATTAGTTTATCAGATTCTTATGCCTTGTATTCACTTTTGTTACAATAACTGTACATAAAGCTACAAATTCTAAAACGATTCTTTGTTTCCTCTACTGCCTCTATACTTTTACATATATTTTGAAATTTGTTAAAAAACAGATAAATTTGAAAAAAAGTTGGTAGGCTCCCAAGCTCATAATTAAAGCTGTATTTTCTTTTCAGTTTTATTACTATATAGTTAGTTTACCTTATGACAAACATGCTCTGACACATACACTTACTTCATTTGTGGCCATCTTCCTAGATCGTGGAAGTGGAGACTTCCTGTGTATATGAATTGGCTCTGACACCAGTGGTTTAAACAGTATAACAGCTCGATCAACCTCATCTCTTTTAGAAGTATGTGGCTCGTCATCATTATCAATTTTAAAAGATCTCTTGCCTTCACTCTGTGAACAAAAATGTAGTGTACTTAAAATTTAGATTTAAAAATTTCAGATTAATAAATTCAATTACCAACTACATGTTCAATTACATATAGAGATACACATACATATATTATTTGTATTTTAATACAAATTAATATTAATTGAAGTCTCAGAACAGCCTAATATTTGATTACTGTGAAGGAGATGACCAAGTCTCTGATTTCAAGAAACATACATACTCTGTGGAGAAATTAATAATAAAAAGACCATAAAAAAATGAATAAGACAAAGTAGTTAAATTTCAAATGAACTAATAAACACCAGTAAGAAAAAGGAGATTAAGGTTTATTATGTGGTAATGTGACCAACCCAGGCACGAAGAACATTTGAATGTGTAATTTTTATATTTAAATTATACTCTAAATATTTTCAATACATGTGATTAATGCATGGAAAATAATAATTTGTTACCCATTAAATGTTAAACCAAGTGTTTGCCATGGGCCAGAAACTCTAAGATACATATCATAAGAATGTCACAGAATAGGTGACACATAAATTGAAGAATTTTATATGAAGTACCCTTTTAAAACAATAAATTTGGCTGAAGTTATATACTAAAATGCATAGTTTAAGTAGTAACAATGGACAAACTAAAACTACATACAAATCTCATAAACATAATATAACCCCCACAAAATCCAACATTCATCAAACAAAGAGCTAGATAAGACAATGAAGGGATTTCCTTAATGAAATAAGGAATATCCAAGACTGGAAGAAATCATGACAATTTATAACAAAACAAAGAAAGAGCATGTATTAATTTTATTCAACATCCATCACCATTCACAAACAATATGATCACAGATATAAAAAGTATATGCATCAATTATTAGAATGAATACCAGCATATGGCAAGTTTCCTAGTAACAGTAGCTTTCAAAAATGAATTAAAATTCAATATGGAGTTAACAAACAAAATCGAATTTAAATAAAGCACTAATTACAAAGTATGTATTAAAAATATAAAAGCTTAATCAAAATTCCAAAAAGTTATCTTTGCAACCTCATAAGATGACTCTAAAGTGTACAACAAAAGTGAAGAAATGCTCAAGACAACCTGGAAAAACAGACAAACTGCAAGGATTTTGTGTCAGAAACAAGATACAGGTATAAAAATTAAGGCTAATATTGAAAAGGAAAAGGTCAAATGCCACCCTGAACCACATAGTGAGGCCTTGTCACAAAAAGCAAAGAGAGAAAGAGAAAGAATGGAATGACAGAAAGTTCAGAAACTAACCCTACCACAACCTACCAACAGGACTGTGGACAGTAGGGAAATGAGGTATTTCTTTAATATTTGGTCTTAAAACCAGTTAGCCATACAGGGTGATCATGTACACAAAACTATAGACTTCAATACCACACAAAGCATACCCCTCCAAAAAGCAAATTTTAATGTATTAAAGAAATAAAACAGGAAAGTGATAACAAATAAGAAATGAGAGAAAGAAAGAATAATGCAAATACTAAATACAGAGATATGGTAGATCTAAACTGACTTGGAAGATATGCTGTGACATATACATTTACTTTTAAAATTATAACTATACATTGTAATAGGCCATTATTCTATAATCAATATTCTAAAACATTCTGATATAGTACTTCAAGTCTAAATTAACATTGATTATGAACAATAATAATGATTTGAGGAATTTAAAATTTTTGCTTTCTAAAATATAGTATACAACAATCAAAATGCATGACATCAGTAATATAAAGAGGAGATAAGGATTAATTAAAATCTTCTAAGATGCTTATATTGTCTAGTAAACAGTATATATTTTATTGACCTTAAAAGTCAGGGATTCATGTCATAGTTCTAAGACAATCAATAAAAAATAGTAAAATAACGTAAACTTATCAGATATTCTATTGGCCAGGGAAATAACATCAAAGAAGGACAGAAGGAAAAAAAAAAAAAAAAAAAGGAATATAAAACAATACAAAATTGTAGGATGCTGGAGAGATAGCTCAATAGAGTAAGTGCCTGCCTAGCAAGCAAAGGTCCTGAGTTCAATCCCTGGCACTGAAAATAAATAAATAAATCAAAAAAATAAAAAAAAAAATTGTAGGATGATTTAAGATGATATATTACACCCCAAATAAGTAAAATTCATATTTAATGTTAATGTTAATACATGCATATTAATACATTAGAAAATAAGATTATATATATATATATATAATATAGAGACTATAAGAAAAGATTGTGAAAATGGATAAAAACACAGCTTACACATATACTTTTAAAAGAAACGGGCTGGGGAGATAGCTCAGTAGAGTAAGTGCTTGCCTGGCAAGCCCAGGGTCCTGAGTTCAATCCCTGGTACCAGAAAAAAAATAAAATAAAAGAAGACATATAGAGGGCTGGCCTAATAGCTCAGCGGATTAAGGTGCCTGCAAGCAGGCCCGGGGTGGTCTTTCGTGCCGGCCCCACCCCTGGGATGTGCTGAGATGGTGATTGAGACTGGGCGTGGTGGTGCATACCAGTAATCCCAGCTCTTGGGAGGCTGTAAACAGGAGAATCACTATGAGTCCGATCTAGTAGTGAGACCCTGAACATCATGTAGACCCTTCCCTAAAATACAGAAAAAAAGAAAAATAAATAAAATGAAAGACATATAATACACTATGAATCCCAAAACATTGAAAGTCAATGGACAGAAAGATATAAAAGCACCCTTTAACTTTCTTCAATTGAGACAGATGGCTTAAGAGAAATGTGTACCAGCACATTAGCAGACACTACAATACATTAAAGCCTACCACGTGTAGCAAAGCTGGGATGTCAACACTACCCCTGAGTCATTCAAACTGTTCTGTATGACGTGCTTCAGATGAATATGAAAAAGGTTTAAATCAAACCCCCCAAAAATCATCAGAAACAAATGGCACCTCTTCATAAAATGAGAAAAGAATTACCAGAAAGATAAATCAATGTAAAATTAGAAACAAAATATGATTAGAAACATTTGTAGGTTTCTAATCACTGAAGTTCAAGGTCAGTGAAAAAGGACAGACTCTGATGTATACCAGGCGTGCTTGACTGGCATCCACCAATACTTCCTGGCCACTGCTTAGTAATAAGGATAAATTACCAATGTATCAGCTTTTCCTAGGACCCATTCTGAATGACCACGCAACTACTTAATTAAGATGGCTCGGGAGTGCTGGCTCTGCGCCAGTTCCCCTAGCCCACCTCCTGGTTAGAAGCAATGGGGGTTTCTATTTGAGGAACATGACAGCATCAACTATCAAATTTTCTCTGCAGTTTTTGATATTGAATATCCAGCATTTTATCAATAGTAGTCTGCACTAAGAGAAAATAAGAGCTCAAAAGCCAAGGGAGGGCTGGGGATATAATCAGTGGCACAAATGCTTTCCTGGCAAGCACAAGGGCCTGAGGTCAAAAAAAAAAAAAAAAAAAAAAAAAGCCAAGGGAATAAAAGAGAAAAAGAAATAGGCCCAGAAAAGGTTACTAGCTACAAATTTTAGAATAGCCATAATTAATATGCTCATATACTGACTGGCAGGAAGACTAAGAATTTTAGTTAAGAGACAGAAATTACAAAAAGCACTAAATGGAAATTCTAGAGGTAAAAAGCATTAAATAAACCCTATGATTGTGTCCTAAAATTAAGAATGCAATGACTGGGATGAGGAGCAGACTGAAAAATAAAAAATGATGGATTAGCAGACTGGAAGAGAGGTACCAAGTCAATCTGTGCCTGAAAATTGTAAAAAAAAAAAAAAAAAAAAATGTAGAGAAGAGTGTTAAGAAATACAGGGCAAAGCGGTTCAAGACGCATGATGAACGCAATACACACATGTTAGGTATAGAAGGAGAAAAAGCAAAGAGTAAATTTTTAAAGAGATAATTACTGCAAATATTACAGAAAGCAACAAAAGATATTGTCAGAGGTAGAAGAGGCACTAATAACCCAGGCATCAGAGTTTAACTGCTGAAAATGAGAGAATCACGTAACAGTGAAAGCCCCTTCAAGGAGATGAAGCTCTTGTAAGAGCAATGGAGACATACATGAGATTAAAAAACACAAAGCACATGACATTTAGGTATATTAAATTTAAATATGTCAGTAATTATATTATGTTAAATATGACAAATCAAAGGAAAAGATTATAAAAAATTATTAAAAGTACAAGTAAACCAAAACCTATATGATGCTTACAAATAATACATGAAATACAGAAGGATACAAAAAGATTGACAAAAATGAAAAAAAAACAAAAAGACCAAGAAAATGATAAAGGTATTATGGCTATACTGTCAAAGTAGACTATAAGGCAAAAATGTTCTAGGCATAAACAAATTAATTTTTCATGTTTAAGAAAGATTAAAGGGGCCGGGGAGATGGCTCAGAATAATAAGCATGTTTCCCTGGCAAGTGCAAGGGTCTCAGTTCAATCCCCAGTTCTGTCAAAAAAAAAAAAAAAAAAAAAAGAAGAAAGATTAAAAAGAGAGCTGGAGAGACAGCTCAGTGGTCTAAGCACCTGTCTGGCAAGTGAAAGGACCTGAGTTTGATCCCTGGTACTGCATACTGTGCCAGCCCCAAAACCAAATATGGTGGCACACACTGTAATCCCAGAGCTGGGGTGACTAAGACAGAAGGATCACTATGAGTGTGAACTGCGTAGGGAGACCCTATGTCAAATAAATAAATAAATAAATAAATAAATAAATAAATTTTAAAATTGTTTTTAAACAATTCAGAAAGAGTAAACAATTCTGATTTGTATATATAGCCTCAAAATGAGGTGCAAAACTTCTGGACATTATAAGGAAAAAGAGATAACCAATAATTCAATGGGATTATTTTTTCATATAATTCCAAGTAGCTAATAAGCAGCAATCAGACCCAAAAAGGTCTTTTTTAAAAAAACTGAATGCAAATTTTCCTGGCTGAGGGTACTGAACAAAGGATAACAGAAAATGTGATCAGTATACATGTGCTAGTTTTAAAAAATTAAGTAGATACAGGTCAATACTTTCTAAAAGACAAAAGTCACACTAAATATATCCTTTAATAGATTAAGAATTAAACTAAGAACCACAATGAAAGCTCACTGGTAGCTTTCATATTTGGAAATCAGGCATAAATCCCTGAAGCCATAAATCAAAGAAAAAAAACCACATAAAATCAAATTTGTTATGCTTACAAATAACACAATATATAGAAGGATACAAAAAGATTAAGAGTAAAATGAAAAAAAAGACAAAGTGATAAAGGTATTATGTCTATACTGTCAAAGTAGACTACAAGGCAAAAAATATTTTCTAGACATAAACTGTTAACTTTTCATGATTAAGGAAAATTAAAAAGACAGCTAGGTCTAAGTGCCTGTCTGGCAAGTGCAAGGACCCGAGTTCGATCCCTGGTACCGCATACTGTGCCAAAACCGGGTATGGTGACACACACCTATAATTCCAGGTGTGTGCCACCTGGGATTTTAAATACTGTAAAATAAATGATGAAACATAGCTATCCGATGTAGCTAAGGAAATCCTAAAGGTATACTAAAGAGGTACTGTACTCAATAGCTCCAAATGCAGTTATTAGAAAAAAGAACTTCAAATACACTCTGCGATACATCAGAGTGGGTCAATAAAACAAACCTAAGAGAAAGAGAAGGAAGCGGAGACGTTAACATCAGCGGTTAATGAAATAAAAGTACAAAGGTACACTAAAAGGATTCACAAGAGAAATTATTAGTTCTCTGAAAATATGAAATCACAAATCCTTGCCAAGATTCAATGAGGGATGATACATTAAGAAGTTACCAGTATGAAAAAAAGAACAACAGTATAGAACTTATAAACTAGGGATGGTGAACCTTTGGGAGCTTTCAGAGATATAAATAACCTAATGTGGCACACGTGCTACAGTTTTGCCACCATTATGGAGGACAAAAAGATAACATAAGGATACCAAACAACTATATATCTTAAATTTGAAAATTCAGATAAAATTCAAAAGCCCAACTGCTAAAAATGGATATAAGAACACACAGGAAACCCAAATAGTGTATCAAATGAAGAAATGGAACACAGCATTTAAAACATCCTCACAAAGAAAACCCCACGTCCAGATGACCTCCACACAACTATCTTTAGCAAATATTTTAAGGAAAAAAAAAGTTACTTTTCCATAAAATTTTGTAGGCAGTATTTAATCCTTAACACAGTAAAGATTACAATGCCAAGTATTTAGCACTATGTTTAATGTGCTAAAACACGTTAAAAAAACAATAAAAAATACAAAATTGGGGCTGGGGAGATGGCTCAGTAGAATAAGTCCTTGCCTGGCAAGCGCAAGGGCCTGAGTTCAATCCCCAGTTCTGCCAAAAAAAAAAAAAAAAAAAAGCAAACATAGCATTACCATTCTAAATATTGGGCTTCAAATCCAGTCTAATAAAGATAAAGTTCTGAAGTATTCTATGTATAAAGATGTTGTTTATCCAAATCATATTTTAAAGAGTTAAAGACATTTTTCTAGTATGAAGTTAAGATTTGGTCACAGTAACTAAGAGCAAACCTTTATAGAAACCTCATGAAACTCTAAAACGGTAGTGCCCAGGCAGTGAAAGTTCCATCTGCATTACCTCTCTGGAAGCTGGTCTGTATCCATAGCCAGATGGCAAATTTTTATCTTCTTCACAACCTTTGGCTCCTGGACTGAAGTGTAACTCAACATGAAAGCGTTCTTCTGAAGAAAGATCCTAAAATACATGAAGGAACATTTTTACAGTGACTAAGTTCAAGCAATCTATTTACCTCTGGCAGTATAGACAAATCCAGAGCCTGGTTACCTTGTTAGGGTCTTCATAGAGCATAATGACAATCTGAGTCATGTAGTTGAGTTCACTGACAACGTTCAGGTAGTCCATGGCTCGTTTCCACTGTTCATCTTTCGACTCCTGAATAAAAGGCATATGGTATTTTCTCATACTGTATTACTTGAAAGGCACTTCCCTATCATCACAGTAGCTCAGTTAACCCTGAGCAATACCACACACACAGGTGCACATTACTGTGCATAACTGTTTCAAAATAACTTCATTTACGTCTCAGTAAGTTAAAATAAACTATTTTAAAATCTTCTGTGAGTACCATTGGAAACTCAGGTGGGAACGTTTTACAAAATAGTTTATACAATGTAAAAACTGAAAGTTTCTTGCAATACATTACCCATTATGGAATTCCAAGGAAAAGGAACACTTTTTAATCTTGTAAGTGCAAAAGAAGATCAAAAGTGTTCAATCCCTCCTTAAGGACAGTGCTCTTTTCTCTCCTATCATACAGTCTTTGTACCTGAGCTTATCAGTAAATATCCCTTATTTCCTGCTGTGACATAGATTGAAAAGGGTCTGACAACCTTATGTGTTTGAAAGGGGAGTGAACACCCAGGTGTTTTGGCTAACATCCTGTTAGAAGGCGGGAAGTGGTTGGAGACAGGTCAGCAGGTACTGGACATAGAAGGCTTTCTCCCTCTCCAGTTCCTCCTGACTTCCTGGTCCCCAAGACATGAACACCTTTCCTCTACTAGACCTTGCTTGCTGTGGGCTGAAAATGTGAGAGAAACCTGAAATCACCGTTATTTTTATGTGAGTTTAGAGGTGGCTGATACAGATGATGAGATCCTAGAATTCAGGTTTATGCTCTAAAAAGTATACCTGAAGAGGGCTGGTGAGAATAATTTGTAAAAAAAATAATTTGTAAAAGCAGAAAGAATAATTTGTAATAGTTTAAGTGAACTTTGCATGTGAGAAGAATATAAATAATAATGGACAATGAATACACAAAGGGTGATTTAAAAATATTATGAATATTTAAATTTAAAAAGTTATTACAGTGAAGTCACATTACCATTAATTCTCAAAACACTTCCCTTGCTCTGAGCACACTTCTCTAATTGTTCTTGCCAATTTCTGAAGCAGTTCTGGAACTCCTCCATGAGTGTTTCTCTACAAATAAAATCTCTCGCGAATGCTGTTGCCCAGGGCCATCCAAGAGAGGAAGCTCGTACAACTATCACAGCGGGTCCTCATCCACTGGACTCATGCAGTCCCTTCTGGCTTTTCCCGCAAGTCAGAACGACAATGCAAGGTAACCCCTCTGAATTAGGTTAGGATATCAAGGCAGCCACAACCGTGCAACTGAAGACACTCACGAGAAGGACGTCTAGCACTGCTGTGGAGAGTGGCATCAGCTTGTGACAAGTGTGCTCAAAGTGAGGAACATGGCAATGTCTCTTTTACTGCAATGATTTTTTTTCAGAAATTATACACATGCTCTATTTTCCTTATTATGATTATTATTTTTTTTATGGGGGATTGTATTTTACAAAAATGGCTGTAAGGCATATATTGAATCCTATATATTCTTACAACATGACAGTGAAACGCCAGGCATCTAGCAATGTGAGTTATTTATTCTCCTGTTTTTTTGAACCCAGATAGAATTCTGTGATTGCCTCAATCAAAACTGTTCCACTTGAATGATACTATGTTAGATTTTAGAATTTTGGCTAGAGAAACATCGAACACTTGCACCTTGCTATCACAGGAAAGCAGGACGGCCTCGCTAGAAACTCAGTTTCCTGGGCACTTCCTCTTGGAACTCAGCTGCATTTTGAGAAAGCAGGTCACATAAAGAGGTCAGATGCTGTCATTCTACTCAGCAACCCCAAATGTGGTCCCAGTTGCTAAGTACCAAGCACTAAACATGTGAGAACACCTGTGAAGTGACTGAGTGCCAGCCACTATCTGACTACAAACTCACGAGACCCTCGGTTAAAGTGACTGACTGATCCTAGGCAATCCTCTAAATTCTGGGAAGTGGAAATAAAGGAGCCGTGGTGGTTTTAAGCCACAAGTCTCGGCATGCCATTAGGTGACAGAAGGCAGAGGTGCGGCGTCTGGTCAAACACAAGTCCTGTCCATGCAGACCCTGCATGCTAGAGTTGATCCCTCAAATTCTCTTTTTCACACTATCAGGGATCTGTAATATCACCTAAAATTTACGTTATTGGTTGGTCACATGGACCTTTCTTACAGGAAAGAACGTTACTGCACCCAAAATCCGGCAGTGCTTGGTGTATAATAAATCCTTGGGAAGTGATAGTATGTCATAAAAATTGGCAATTAATTACTATAGTTTCATAGTAAAAATCACAGTGATGTGATTACAAGTTTAAAAACCATTTATTAGTTAAATTGGACAAGCTTGCTGTACTTACATCGCATAAGGCACCATAGCGAAGAATAGATAGTAAAGAATGTACATGGCTTTCACTGGTGAAGTATAATCTGGTACGGACATGACGTTCAGGAGACAGAACACCTCTGGAATACCTAAAGTTAGAAGCATGCAATATTAAAACATAACCATGTAATAAAAACTTCTTAAGTATAGAAATTAGTTTATAAAATGGAATTTAATCTTCCTAGGAGTAAAAGTCCCTAATAAATAAACCTATCACTCTTCCAACCACAACTCCATAATTGAGTAACTTCCAGAACTGAGGAGAAACTGGTTTTTGATAGACATTATTCTAACATAAGTTAGTTGGAACTAACTAGGTCCGCTGTGATTAGTCAAAGAGCATCAACTTAGTATTACTCGAGTTAACTCTAAGAGGTTATGTTAGCTCCTCCAGCAGCGGTGACAGAGTATAGACCTAAGGATACTCACAAACATTTACGCAGCTGAACAGGGCAGAGGGCCGACCCCATGAAATGATGACACACATCCCCTCTTCCCCAGTCACCTCTGCTTTTCTCCAAATTGGTGCCAAAACCAGCCTTGGTTGGAAGTTAATTAATGGGAATAGCTAGATAATCCTATTTCCACAAAATATCAAGTGATATGCTCCTGATTTCTATATAGAAACATCAAAAAATAATTTAGATTTGAAGTATGCAAAAGCAGATGCCTGTGGACTTAAACAACTAGCGCAGTCTCTTACACCGGATGGAGTTTATTTACAGTGTCATCATCTTGCGTTCTCTGCAGGTCTGAGCGAATCTTTCTAACTAGAGGAGTACAGTAGCCTTTGGCAATCTCCAGTTTTTCAGCTTTAGTTATACCATATTCCTGAGCAGAAAATACACAGTATTAGAAAAAGGGTGTAATAATGAAGAGCTCTAACAAATGTACTCCTGAATTAAGGAATTTTAGGGAGACACAAATAATTGTATTAAGACATTTATACTCAGTTTACCTGTTTGATAGCTGCAAATATACTATTTTCAAACCATAAACATCATTGGAAGGATTCTGTAGTAGAATTTAAAAGCCAAGTAACTTCTAAAGAAAGGAGGATGAATGAATTAATGCAATCCTTTGTAATAGTATTCAACTTAATCAGGAGATTTTTATTTGTTTATTTATTTATTGTGTGTGTGTGCGGCCAGCTCAGCCCACCAGGGGGCGGGGCTGGCTGGCATGTGGTGCTGGGGATTGAACCGCAGGCCCTTTGCTTTGCTTAGCTTAGCTTGTTCTAAGTAGGTGCTTTAGACCTCTGAGCCATCTCGCCAGCCCAATCAGGAGATTTTTAAATGTTTAAAACACTATTAAAACATAGATTAAGGAGAGAATAACTAAGACAGAAAAAAGGCAATAACATGAAAGGAAATACAAATTAAGGCTGAGATTTTTGGAGGCCAGGGATGTGATTCAGAGGTAAAAGTTCCTGCTGGGCACACAGAAGACTTGGGTTCGATTCCCAGCACCACAAAAAAAAAAAAAAAAAAAAAAAAAAAAAAAAATCAACAACCACCGATCTCCAAACAGACCTTTTTCTGTTCCAATGTTGATGCACATTTTTTAAAAGCCTTTGGCCAATATTCTTAATATTTTAAATGGTGGTGAGCAAAGATGCCTGAAATTACCCAATTTCTGTCTATAATTATGAATTAAGTAAAATTATAATGAATTGATGCAATGTGAAGTGGCAAAGAACTTAGTAATTATGAATCGTATTGAAAATTATGGTTCAAAATAGTACATCAGAAAATAACTGGATATTAGAAAAGTTCATGGGATAGGAGAGTGTGAGAAGGGAAAAAAACAGAAAGAATAAGCTGAAAGAAAGAATATGGAAGAAGGAAGAAACACACACCTCTTCTCCCTCCAAATTCATTCTGGGAAACCTTAATTTAAAAACTATTCCCTGTGATGATAAAAAATCTATAGACAGCACATCTCAAAATTGTTTAATAAAGAAAATGTGACTGATTACAGATGGGGTACCCATGAAAAGTGAACCTCTGGGGATCGTTTACCTAAAAGCTGTTATTCCTAAATTCACTCAGTATTCTTGCCAATATGTATGACAGTGAGCGAGGTATATAAAAGGGTTACGTGTGTATTTGTGAGTTTATATGTAAATAGAATAAAACTGTTGAAATTAAAATATCATTAGAAAGAAAATTTACTTGTTTTAGCAAGCCATAAGAAAATAGGTATGTTCATATATTGCTGGTCTGGGTTAAAAAATAGTTAAAGAGCTCTAAAGCTAAGGAAATACGGTTAAGTATATGCAAACACATATGTAAAGAGAGAGAAATTAAAAGAATCCAGGTTTCCCTGTACAGACACTAGTTAAATAAATTTACACATAGCTTTACTGATACAGAGAGAAGTACCTGATGGTAAATGAAGAGGAAAAAAATCTGATTGTAAAACAGTATTTTCCTGACCCCATTTTTATAAATACTTTGTTACATGTATGAAGTAATAACTGTATATGCATGAATTTAAAGAAGGCTCTGACAATATTCCAAAACACTGACATATAATTGGCTGGTAATGTTATAGTGAGTTTTTTCCTAATAAAAAACTTTCTAGTTTTATAAACAAAGGTATTATCAATTTCCAAGTAAAACACATTCTTTGCTCACCTGTGAGCATTCTTCGGAACCAAGTAAGTTTTAGAAAGCTATATTCTCGTATGTAGCTGTAATACTTCTGCAACAAATAGAACTGTTGGGGCTGGCAAGCTAGCCCAATGGTCTAAAGCGCCTGCTTAGGCAAAGCTCAGGGACCACAGTTGGATCCCCCAGTACCACATGCCAGCCAGCCCCACCCCCACGCTGGGCTGAGCTGGCCAAAAAAAAAAAAAAAAAAAAGAAAGAAAGAAAAGAAAAAAAGAACTGTGTAAGATACAAGATGAGGGGAAGAGGGGCCAGGCATATAGCTCAGAGACATAAGTGCCTGCCTGACAAGCACAAGGTCCTGAGTTTGAATCCAAAGGAGGAGGAGGAGGAGGAGGAGGAGGAGGAGGAGGAGGAGGAGGAAATCTTCACTGAAAACATAAGTGTAACAACCAAGACACTAAGCTTGGTCTAATGTCAAAGCAATGCAAATCAAAGAAACAAATTATACTTTCAAAGTAAATTCAGAATTATCAATGATTATTCTTTCTGGAGTTTTCAGTAGGAAGGTTGAATAAATTTTCTATCTTGAACTTTATAACAAAGACGGATGCTAATTTAGTAAATTTATTTGGTTATTAGCACATCAGTGTTAGACTGAGATCCTCTATTTTTTACCACAGTTAAAAATGAATCCTGAACAACTGTGTTCATTTTGAGAGTAATCTTCAAGTATCCCATATTATAAAAACCTTTTATTTTGCAAAATTAAAATTTTGAGGTAGCTTGTTTGCTTTAGGCACTGAGGCCTAGTCCCACCTACACACATCTGATCAACTTCCTAGCTTCTGTCGTTCCCAACCTATCTCCTTTTTTTGTTTTATTTTGTCAGAGATGAGTTTCATTGCAGTTAGAGATGCTGTACTTGGAGAAGTCTTTAAAAGACATTTTCACACTCGATGCCAGTGGAAAGATTGTAGGTACTTGGATTTAGCAAAATAAAGTCCAATATAGTCCAATAGTCCGTGACGGCAGTGTGTTATCAGCACAACTGGTAACTGGCAGAAGTTGCTGACTTGAGCCTTTTACATATATGTATATACAAGATAATTAGGATAAATATACAGCTACTTTCTCTTAGTTTATTGAGAAGAAATGTCTGTACTAATATTGTTTAGACAAGATATCATGTCTGTATCTTGCCCTCTGAATAACTACTATGAAGACAATACGTAACGTATTAATTATTGTAACTGCCCTACTAACCTGTTTTGAAACTTTCATTGCTATTTTCTTTTTCTCAACAAAATGAATAAACAATAAAATTTAAAGATTTTGAAGAATAAAATTTGTCTTTTTCATTTTAAACAGGAAGAAAAATTATAACAATAATTAAAACAAAGTATTTATGTGTGTGGTACTGGGATTGAACCTGGAGCCTTATTTATGCAAGGTAAGCACCTACAATAAGCTACATTGTCAGTCACCTTTATTTAAATTTTAGTTTGAGATATGGTCTCATTAAATTGTCCACGCTGGACTCTAACTTGAAATCGTGGAGCTGGGGAGACAGTTCAGTGGTCTAAGCACCTGCCCAGCAAGTGCAAGGAACTAGGTTCAATCCCTGGTACCAAATGCTGCACTGGCCTCAGAACACCAGGTGCATTGTGCTGGCCCTGGAACTGGGTGTAGCATGGTGGCACATGCCTGTAATCCCAGCTTTGGGGAGTCGGAGCTGCATGGTGAGACCAAATAAATAAAAAATTAAAAAAAAAAAATTAACTTGCAATCCTCCTGCTTCACTTTCCCCCAAAGCTGACATTACAGGCATGAGCCACCATCCCCAGCTGCAACTCTTTCAAGCTAACATACCTTCAATTCTGAAAAGTGAAATAGTAAAAAAAAAAAAAAATACTGTCCTGCTTTCTAAGTTGATGTTTCCCAAAGGCATATTCTTGATAACCAAGATATCTTTACCCCCTTGTAAAGAAGATTCAAGTTTATAGATCACTCCTTCATACTATATAAACTGTTCATCATAAGATCACTTTTGTGGCCAAGTAAGTATGTGGCTGCTGCTTCATGGGGACTGGACATAATGTTAATATGGACTAGCTATGACCATTAGAAAATGTACCCTGGCGTTCTTTTAGCCACTTTTATACATGGGTACTTACAAGTGAAGCTCTCTGAACTTTCTATTTTTTTTTATGGTTATACATAGTAATGCTGTTTTCTTTTTTCTTTTTTTGCTTTTATTTGAACTTTCTATTGATATTTACCCTTTTCATGAATCCTATTTGTCCCATCTTTTAACTTAGCTCACATTTGAAGTATCTGATCTACTCCAACATCCACTTTCTCACATACAAATCATTGTTACTAATCGAGTTGGGCAAAGATACTAGAAAGGCTTTTGGTGTTTTTCTCCTGTAATGTATTCTTGGTAGCAATGGGCTTTCTAACGTGTTCCTTGGTCATTAACGTGGTTCTCTGCATGATTACCTCTGAGTTGAGTTGTGATTACACGTTCCCTTCTACTCACCTATAATAATAAGACCCATGTCCCCAAAACTGTTTTAACTTGACCTCTAACATTACTTTCAAATAAAGTAAAAAGACTTGCCATTTTCCTTTCTTCTTTTATACTTCTTTTTTGTGCAGGGGATTTAATCAAAGGCTTCAGGCATGCAAGAGAAGCTGTTAAGCTGCATCCTCAGCTCGCAGGGCAGATTTTTACACAGAGCTTGCAGATACCTTTTCTTCCTATTCCCCACATATTTCCATGACATAAAGCTGGTACACAAGTACTGGGTACCCAGTAAGCACTTGATAAGGGATATTTTTCTACACTGTCTTCAGTTGATTTGTTTATTAGCATTATTATTTTTGAAGAGTATAAATTCTTAAATTTTAAAAAGTTATATTCTTTGAGCAGAAAATTACTCTGCACAATACTATAGTGGTGGATGCAAATCACTGTAAGTAAGTATAAGCTCACAGAATCTTAATGTAAACTGTGGACCTCTGGTGACACTAGTTTGTCAATAAGGTCCATCAGTAATAGAAAATATTCTACTCTGGTGGAAGATACTCATAATGGGGACAGAGGGTACACGGGAAATCTTTACACCATCCACTCCATCTTTTTTGGTTTTTATCCATTTCATCTTGTTATAAACCTAAAAATGCTCTAATAATAGAATTTATTTTTAAAAAGACCTAAAATCAAAATATTAGGAAATCAGATATATTAGTAACAGAAAAATACAGGCTTATAAAATCAAATTACTTAATTTAAATGTTTTCCTGTCATGTAAACCAACTCTAGATATCTTCAAAATATATTTTTAAAACTTTATAAGAACACTGATTCTTAAGAATTAGTTACCTGAGGGATAACAATATCTGCTAATGCCTTTGAAAGCCTATATAATTCCATTGTATCTTCTAATTTCAAAGAACCATTATGCTGGACATCATATTTTATACAGTCGTATATGTCAGGAATCTTACTAATATCGTATCTTCCATTCTTTGTTTTGAAGTCTTTCTCCAACTTGGACCATCTACGTAGCATAAGCTCCAAGGTTTCACTATGATAAAGTTGAATATCTAAAACAACATAACATTTTAGTACATTCAAATCAGAATATCAGAAACTTTTAAAGTTATATAGTAAAACTACAAAAAGCTAGAAAATATTATTATAGGCATATCCCATTAGCAACTAAATATTTTTCAGTCTTTTTTTTTTGCGGAACCGGGAATTGAACTCAGGCCCTTGCACTTGCCAGGGAAGCACTTATTCCACTGAGCCATCTCCCTGGCCCCAATTTTTCAGTCTTGAATAAAACTTAACATAAAAACTTGTGTTGAAAATGGGACTTGTGGAAGTCCTTTTCCTTGGTATAGACGCTACTCTTCTTTAACTACATTCCTGTATTTAAAAGAAAAGGAAGACTACCTTTAGCAGAAAAGAATCTTAGCAATTAAATTCTTCTAGTAACAAGTGTGTAGCAGTAAAAAACTCTAGGATGTCCAAGTTGTCCAGGTGTTAACAGGCCAGCCCAGGCGCCAGAGCCCATAACACTGCTTGCTCCTCCTTCCTGAGCTACTACGCAGTGCGTAACTATCCAACAATGCTAAATACCTAATCAAATGAGAATGTTCTACATTTTTCATAACCTGATGGATAAAAATAATCGTAGTTTAGCTGTTGTTTCTTTGATGCATATGTTAACTCATACTGTAACTTGATCATCAGAGGTTTGATTTCTTAAAAAGAGACTGATGTTTATTTATGTTAAGTTTAAAAAGTTTTTACCTGATGATTTTGGATCTTCCATTCGATGTCTGATTTGAGAAGTCAAACTTTGAATCAAAGAATAAACTATGTCACAGGTCTTCACAGGATTTTTAATTAAATGCATTGATTTGATAAGAGAAATGCTTCCAGATGGAGTAAGCTACAAATGAACAGATTATATTTTATAACTGGTTATGCCTAGCTCTTTAAGAGAACACACATAATTTTCCAGACTACTTCCATTTCGCAAATTGAGATGACATCCAAAGTATGATAATACAATTGAGAGATAGGTAAAAGCATCGGAATTTCACATTACTTTCATAAGTAATGAAGTTTAGCTACCAGAAGATTGACTTATTACCCATAAAGAAAATCTGGTGAAAGTACTCTAACTTAAGCCAGGAGATCTAATGAGTGGTTACTGATTTGTATCACACAAATATGGCTTTAACCACCAGACATACATTTACATGCAATTACACCAAGTCTCTATTACCAGCATCACCTTGTGCCACCTGAGAAACCCTAGATCTGAGGGGAAGCAACTTTCTGAAGATCAAACGACTAGTATGTGCGGGAGCAGGATTCCAATACACGTAGTCTGACTACAGACTCATGTTTGTAACCAGTAAGCTATTATTCCTCTGAAGTGAGTTCCTTTTCCATTCAACAAAAGCTACCAGTGTATAATACAGCTGCAAACTCCAGTTTTGGCACTTAGCCTGGCAAGTTAAGTTCCACATGAAGTTCGTGCCTACAAAATAAAAAATGTTAAGTAGAATTACACTTCTGGTTTTAGTGAAATCAGAATGTAACTGCTGAAAGTAAGTAAAAGTTCTGGGGAAAGAATGTCTGCATCTTTGCTTTAAAGGCTCCCAGAGATAACAAGTTTAGGGCAACAGAATTCTGCAAACAAGTGACCTATGAAGAGAGCCTGCCATTAAAGAATTGTTTTTGCCCTGAAAACATTCCTTAGTTATAAAGAGAAGGTGGGTAACTTTAATAACTATGTTGGGTTAAGAAAAAGTTAAAGTTTTGGGTGAGCTCAAGTTTCACCCAAAGGTGAACTCTGGTAAATCCTTTGAATCCAGAGTTTTAAGAAACAAAGATGAATTGGAAGCAAATCAACCCACAACCAAACTGTAGATGAGGTATTACTCAATCAGCGGGTCACAAAAGATCTGTTTCTGAAAGTGATTGAAGACAATCAGACTGCTATGCTTTCAGGCATGACAGAAACAAATAAAAATACCACAAGAGAAAATGATCTTAAGCTTAATATATTTCCATAAACAAATAAAATATCCACCCACAACTAATGACATTCAGACACACAAGGACACAAGATCTAAAGTTCCCTCCACAGACAGAATGAGATTCAGCCATTAGATTTTCCAACAAACACTAAAAAATAAGATTTCTGTTTACATTCAAGACAAAAAAGACCCTTGAAAAATCAAAGATTACCAAGTATTTTTAAAAAGCAAATAAAAATTTAGAATAAAAAAAGTGGTTGACTGTAAAGCATATTAACTATAGTCAAAGACATTTTGGTAAATTAAAATATAGATTAGAATACTGTTTCTAGGATACAGACAAAATAATTGAAAAAAATCCAAATTATAGATGAAAAAAGACAAAGTGATTAGTGCTAACAAACACACATTGGGAGACAACTCAGAAAAAAGTAAGAAATGTAATATATCAGAAAAACTTTTCAAAACCAACAACAAGTATCAAACCACAGGTCAAAGAATCCCAATAAAACATTAGCAAAATATAAGTCAATCTACACGGGCGTGGGAGGTAAGTTCAAAGGTAAAGCAATAGTCTAGCATATGAGGTCAGAGTACTCAAAGCCACACGAGGAAAACAAGGCCTATTTATATCTAGAAACACAACAAAAACTGCTAGAAAGAAAAACAAAAATAAAATGTTAGGGCCAGTCCGATAGCTCAGTAGACTAAAGTGCCTACTTAGGCACAGCACAGTGACTGGGGTTCGATCCCTGGCATGCCATGCCAGCCCCACCCCTGAGACAGAGATTGAGACTGTAATCCCAGTGCTTGGGAGGCTGAAAATAGGAGGATCACTACAAGTCTGATCTATGTAGTAAGACCCTATATACCCTGTACAAAATACATTAAAAATAAATAAAATGTTAAAAGTGGCCAGAAGCTATTAAAATTTATTTGCAAAGGTGTAACAGTAAGACTAACAGCTAAACTCTGAAGCCAAATATTGCCTACCAAGCATCATTCTAAAGTCCTATATCAGTGAAAATATTGAGTAGATATTTAGTAAAATTATTAGTAAATTATTAGTCAAATATTTACACAAACAAAAAAGTCCCAAGAATTCACCATTAGCAGATTCATAGAATTATTGTACTATTTTTTTCTTCAAAAGGAAAACAACCCTGAATGGAAGCCTTGAAAATAAAGAAATTATAGTAATTAAAAGTGTAAATTAGACTTCCAGCAAAACAGCCAAGTAGACCACAGGTGAACTTCCTCTTACAAAAGACAGGCACATGGAAGAAAGGTGCATGCTGCTGAGACTTCTGGGAGAGGAGCACTGAGGTAAGATGCCGGTGACAAGGGGGCTCCGCAAAGCAGGAATCCTCAGGACTGCAATGACGGGAATAAAGGAGTGCATGTTTCCCTCCCTACTCTGGTGCCACAGTCTGGACTCTTCTGAAATAGAAACATCCTCCTCTTGCTGCGGAAAGGTAAACAGGAATCTCTGCAAGTCTGCTGCTGTGGAGCCCTGCAGCTCACATCAGCTTCATGAGTCACAGGGCGTGCGTAGCACAGCACTGCTCCAGAGGCAGTTCATGGACAGTATCTCTATTCCGATCAGGACCACTCCGCGTACTTCCTCCCGGCATGAACTCTGACCCTGCAGGCCTGCACACACAGTGCCACCCAAGCCAGGCTTGGACAAGTTCCATCATGGATAACCGACAGAGACTGGCAGGTGCTTTGACCCACCACTGCATGCACTGCACCTAAATTATCAGCTGAAGAAGCTACATGATGGGGAACTTCAGCACTACACTCAATGGAACCAAAGCCCTATCACACACACCAGAAGACCCGTCTGCAGGAGAAAGTCCTTTACTACAGAAATCCTAGAACACAGCTAAGGGACACGAGAGAAGTGCCGTGTGCGCAAATGTCGACACTGGAGCACAAGAAGAGCACGAGCAGCAAGGCTATAGAACGCCTCCTTGGTGGCAACGAGCTCCAGAGACGAAAGACAAGCGCAAGGCCTGAAAAAGAGCTCAAGACGATTATTCTAAGGAAACTCAATGAAACACAAGAGAAGAGATAATTTATTGAAATTGAGAAAACTCATAATAAGAATGAGAAAGAGTTTAAAGGAAATAAGTTTTAAAAGGTAAACAAATATTGGAGCTAAAGAATTCAAAATATGAAATTATAAATACAGTGGAGAACATTAACAACAAACTAGAACAAACGAAACAATCTCTGAACGTGAAGACCTATTCTCACACTCATTCTCCTCAAACTATCCCAAAGAATTGAAAAGACCATAACTTTTCCAAACTCATTCAATGAAACTACCATTATCCTGATAACTAAACCAGATATAGATAAAGTAGAAAAATTAAACTATAGGTCATTATCTCTAATGAGCAGACAAGCACAACCCTCTACAAAATACAAGCAAACTAAATTCAACAGCACATCAAAAAAGACTTATGTACAGGTGAAATGATAGTTCAACATGAATAAAACATAATACATGGATAAAAATCAAATGGTTATCTCTTTAGATGGAGAAAAACCATTCAGTAAAATCAACAACCTTCCTGATGAAAGATTAAGTACAGAAAGATAACATTTAAACTAATAAAATCTATATAAGACAAACTTGCAGACAACACAATACTACCCAGAGAAAAGCTGAAAGCATTTCCTCTAGGAAATAGAATGAGACAAAGATATTTACTTTATAACTCTTACTCAACCTAGTACTAGAAGTTTTAGCCAGAGCAGCTAGGCAAGAGAAATGAAATAAAACACTGATACAGACATGGAAGAAGTCAAATTATACTTAATTTATAGCTGACAAGATTCTGTAATAGAAAAATCTCACAATTCCAACAAAAACTATTAAAATTGATAAATTCAGTAAAGTTGCAGATCAAAGACTGAACATAAAAAAATCACTAGTATTGTTATACACTAATTAAGAAACCTGCTCAGAAAGAAATCAAGAAATCAATCTTACTGTTAATGACTATAATAAAGATTATAAAAATTAATGATAGCTAGGAATAAATTTAAAAAAGAAAGTTAACTGTACACTAAAAATTACAAAACACAATGTAATAAACTTAATGATAAAAAAGTAGAAAGACCTTCCATGTTCATGGATTGAAAGAATTAACATTACTAAAATGTTCATATTATGCAAAGCAGCTTACAGATTCAACAGAATTCCTGTTCAAATACTAATAGAGTGCATCTTTCAAGAACCAGAAAAGGCAATCAGAAATTCATAAGGGAGCAATGAGATAGCAAAAACTCAACGCAACTTTGAACAAAATGAACAAAGCTACAAGCATCATGATGCCAGATCTCTAGACATTATATAGGGTAACAGTAACCAAGATAACATTGTACTAGCATGAAACACACAGACCAATGGAAAAGAACAGCAACCCCAGAAATAAATTTACAGGTAGCTGATTTTCAACAAAGACACCAAAAATATAAATTGGAGAAAAAGAAAGCTTGTTTAACAAATGGTACTATGGACATCCATATGCAGAGAAATGAAACTAGACACCTGTCATCATACACCAAATCAACTCCAAATGTACCAAGAATCTTAATGAAAGAGCTAAACTAAGAGTAGGAGAAACACTCACAGACCAGAGAATAAGATAAGACCCCAGCACAGCAGATACAACACCACAGATATTTCCTTTTTCATTTCCAATCTGAATTCCTCTATACCTTTCTGCAGCAGTTTATTTGAAAAGCCGTTGATTCACTGATTTCAGCTGTGTGATTCTCAATTTTTTCTGTGTTAGTGTCCTCTTCACTTGTTATGGGTGGGCTTGGGGTCTGAGATTGCATTTTGCTCCTTCTCGTTGGCATTTTGTGTAGCACTGTCTTCTGACTTTTGTTGTAGAGCTTTGGTGCAGTTATAACCTTAGCACCTACTGAAGTTCAGGGGCAGATCTACAAAGTTTGGATCTATCCAGTTGTACCTGGCTTGGGTGTGGCTGCTGTGCTCAGCTCCTTCCTGCTGCTGCCCTTGGGGGTGAATCTGTTGTGCCTCTCTGGCAAAATGTTCTGCTCCTGGACTAGCTGGGTGGTTCTGTCCCCTACTCTCTCTGCAGGGATTGCAGCTACAGGGTTTCACCTCAGGCCTGCATGCTAGGCCTGAGCTGAGTCTGGAGGGGACAAGGTGGAGTAGCGGTGAGAGGTAGCTCTCCCACACACTTGCCGGGCCTGGACTAGGACTGGATCTGGGGGTTCCCAGAAGGTGACAGAAATTCCTACTCTGTGGGTGGGGTGTGTGTGTGTGGGGTACTATGGAGTGAAGGGGGGCGTCCCAAGAGGGTGAAAGAGGGTGTCACCCATGCTACACCTGGGCTGGGACCAGTAGGTCATGCCAGCACAGGGTAGCTGGAAGCTCTCCCATACACTCACCAGGCCTGGGCTAAGACTGGATCTAGGGGTCCCTAGAACACGGCAGAAATTCTCACGTGGTGGGCGGGGTGGTGGGGTGCTACGGAGCAATGGGGGAGCCCCAAAGGGGTGGAAGAGGGTCTCACCCACGCTGCACCTGGGCTGGGACTGGCAGGTCCCGCTGGCGCAGGGTAGCTGGAAGCTCTCCCACACACTCGCTGGGCCTGGGCTAGGACTGAATCTCCTGATGGCCGTTTTTAGAGAGTGCAGAGTTTCAAGAACAGTTAATAGCCAGGCTTCAAGTGCAGAAGGAATACTAAACACAGTGAACACGGTTGGCAAAGCTGTCCACAAATGGGATTCAAAATGAAAGAATCAGGTGCAGTTTAAAGGAAAGTCGGAGCAACGTAGCATTTTGACCAGCAATTTAGGAAACCTCACGCTGGTGCTGAAGCCTCAGTCAGTCACAGAAAAGAACTTCCAGCCCTTGCTAAAAGTATGCTGCCAGGTTAGGCAACTCAGGCTCATACTCCTCTATCGAGAGTTTTCTCAGCTTCCAGAAAGGAGAGGAGATCACAGACCACGTACATCAAGCTTTTGTTGAGTTCTGTTCGTTTCCAGAACTACCCAGCGACTACACTCCTCGTACTGCGCAGTAAAAGGTATGTTTGACCATCAGTGAAAGGCTGGCAGCAAAGGGGAGATGTTCTAAGATTGCTCTGCTGAAAAAAACATGAAACTGAGGTGAAAAGGATGGTTTCTAACAAGCCAGATCAAATACAGCATGTTAAAAATAAGACAGGAATTGAAAGCACAAGGAGAATGACAATGAATGGATCTTTAAATTCAAAAAGATAGTCATGATATAGTGAGTATAATTAAGAGAACTCTATTTGTTCTTGAAAATTCTCAAGAGTTTTTGAAGTATTCTCACCACACCAAAAAAAAAAAGGATTTGAGGTAGTGCATATACTGCATAGCATTCCACAATACTTTTGACAACCCACAATATATCTTGTTACATAGAATATGTCCAATTATTGTCAATTAAAATAAATAAACTGCCAAATAAGTTGCCAAAGTCAGACTACACTGGTTATCTATGTACACTAACCCAAATAACAATATTCTAGATATGGTAAGGATACAAAAAAATGACAATAGGAAAGGGATTGTAGTTATTTCTAGGAGACAGAACAGGTTGCTGCTGTGAAGGGAGGGAGAGACAAGGGCCAGAGTTTGTCCACGTTTTCTTTCTCTGCCTGGTTCATACAAAAAGTATTTGATTTAAAGTACAATAAGCACAACAATTATGTTTCATGTAATGCATGTAATGTTTCATAACATGCAACAGCATGCTACAACCCACCTTCTCATAATCTTCTGCAGTAAAATCTCTGTCTTTCTGCAGTATTTCATGAAGCCTCGCTTTCACACGCTGCTGACAACTGCTCAGTGAGTCACTGTCACTGTCCAAAAGGCCATTCATGTTCGCACTTTTCACCATCTGCACAAGAATGGGTGTAAGCTCTCCTTCCAGAGCCAGCAGCCCCTAAACACAATGAACAAAGTCAATAGTTGAAAACTTAATTTGCAAAATAATTGAAGACATCACATTTCTGTTATATGCTGAATTTCACAATACATTATCTATAGCTTATCAGTGCTGGTTGGTAGCACAGAAGTTCCACATCTGGTCTTTTTAAATACTGATTCAGTAAAACTCCCTTAAATTGCCATATTATATAAAAACTCTAGTAATTTAAGAAACCACCTATTGATACCTTTGCAAAAGCGGCCGCAGTCATCTGGACTCGCCCTTCATCAGAGGCATATATTTTGAGGTCATGTCGGTAGGTGCTGTGTAATCGAAGCAAACCACAACCAGGAAATCCTGCATAATCTCCTGAAAATAAATCCTCGAATCACTTAAGCTATATTTTTATTTTGCTGTCTTTAAATTTTACTAACATCAAAAAGTACTCAAGAGTTGAAAATGACATGTATAAATTTAACCAAATTCAAGAAATGCCAGGCTTTACCTTGCCCTCCAGGGTACATACACCTGAAAGCTCTTCCGAGTTCTTCGGCCTGGACCCTGCCCGCAGGGGTTAGCTCTCCTCCCCATTTCAGAACCAAAAGTAAGGACGGCTCTTCTCTGCGGCTGTCTACGCACAAGTAAATCAATGTTAAGTATGTTATTTTATTTTTTATTTTTTATTTTTTTTTTGTACTTTAGGGAAGGGCCTACAGGGTGTTCAGGGTCTCACTACTAAATCAGACTTGTAGTGATTCTCCTGTTTATAGCCTCCCAAGTGCTGGAATTACAGGCGCACACCAGAACGCCCAGTCTTAAGTATGTTACTTTAAACAGACGTACCTCAACTTTTTTTTGGTCTGTGCTCTCTTCTGCAATGGAATCTCAAATGTAAATTATTCCATTCCCTAAATGTTCCTATCTTTTCTTATTTTGTCTTCAATATTTGAGATTTTATTGGTTGTGTTGAGGATAAGTACACACGATTCACTTTGTACACAATTCTTAACACACCTAACCAAAAAAAGCCACGTATTGTTTTTCAGTTGTTGCAGTGATTTTCCAGCTTCAAATTTAGAGGCAAATTTTCCTCTTTGTAGGCTGTTGTTTCAGCAGGAATAGAGTCTACTTAGGAAAATCTTACTGAAATCCAGAATCTCTTTCATGCTTCGGAGAAGGCTCCCTATGTCAGCAGCAGCATCGCTTCTCTTACATTGCATGACACAGCTACTGTATTTAACTTAGTTATGCTACATCTGATAGACCATGAGCTCCTTGAAGGGTCCACAGCAGACCTCTGTTCATATTAAGTGCCTTTACAGTGCTGTCACACAAAGGAGAACACATTAACTATAGTGAATGTTTCTCAATTGGGAATCGGGGATTTGCGTGATTTTTTAGAAGAAATTTGAATTGACAGCTTAACATTTATCCTAGTTCAAATTTCAGCAAACAATGACATGCAGTCAGAGCCATTTTTGAACAGTGCAATTTTCATAATTTCTAGATTACTTTGTCAGATGTGAGTGAGACACCATTACATGAATGGGTTTCTGAACTTAATTTTGACCAGCCCGTTATCATGGCTCTAAGATCTGACTGTGTCAAAGTTTAAAACAACAGCAACTGAAAAATAATTTATACACATTAAAAGAATGATTCATAGGGGCCGGGGAGATGGCTCAATAGAATAAGCACTTGCCTGGCAAGCCCAAGTGTCTGAGTTCAATCCCCAGTTCCATCAAAAAAAAAAGAATGATTCATTAAAGAGGATAGGAAGCCATGCTTTCTCTGGGGACTTGTTAGCAGTTTATGCTTTATCAGGCAGGCTGGTAAGAACTGAGAATTCAGGTAAATTACATTGTTATTATACTTGTTTACAAGAAGTTTTTCATCATAAACATATGGATATAGAAAATTAATCTATGTTGTAATCACAAAGTGATAAGTGACAAAGTGTAACATTTAGGTCAAATGTTAACATAAATGCATGAAGATTAACAAATTCAAACATGTATTTGCATTTAAGTTAATCACTACTTCAGTTTTTGCTACAATAAATAATGCCACTGTGAATATTCATACAGATAGATCATCCTCTGAACATCTGACTATTTACTTGGGATCCATTACTACAATTACCTTGAAGGTCAAAGCAGCAACACTTTTTGAAGCTAAATCACTATTTAGAAAGTTGTATCAGGTCGGCAAGATAGCTCAGTAGACTAAGCACCTGCTTAGACAAGCACAGGGACCCGGGATTGATCCCTGGTACCGCATCCCGTGCTGGCCCCACCCCTGGACATGCTGAGCCGGCCACCAAGACCAGGCATGGTGGCACACGCCTGTAATCCCAGGACTGGGGAACTTGAAAACAAGAGGATCACTATGAGTTTGAGCTGTGTAGCAAGGTCAAATACATTAAAAAAAAAAAAAAAAAAAGATTGTATCAATTTACAGTTCTACCAGCAGACTGAAATTCTATCACTTCAATTCACATTAATTGTTTCACTATCATTTTAAAGAAGAAAATGCTCTTAGTGTGACAGGCAAAAAAGATCATTCAGGCTGAGTATCCCTAATTTGAAATTCCACAATCCAAAGGCTCTGAAGTCTAATTCTTTCTGATCCCTGACATGATGCAACAAGTGGAAAATTCCACACCATAGAACTTGGTCTTACATAAAAAAAAATTATCTTTAATTTTGACTTATTTATTATGTATTTGGTACAAGGTTTCACCACACAGCTCCAACTCAAAGTGATCCTCCTGTTTTCAGCCTCCCCAGTGCTAGGATTATAGGCATGTGCAACCACACCCAGACTCAGTGGCTGGCTCAGCGTGCCCCAGGGCCAGGGCGGACGAGGCATGTGGCACCAGGGATCAAACCTGGGCCCCTGTGCTTGCCTAAGCTGGTGCTTAGTGCGTTGAGCTATCTCACCAGCCCTCATACACATGTTATTTTTTTTTTTAAAAGTCTTATTAAGATTCTTCAGGCTATACATAAGGTTCACGTACACATAGGTATGCATGCACACATACACATATGAGTACATGAGTTTTATGAATGCATGTGTTTAGAAGTGGTTCTTATCCCTGAGATATCTCATGCTACACAGGAAAATATTTCAAAATCTAAACGAGTCTAATTTTTCTTTTTCCTATTTTTGGTACCAGGAATCCACCTCAGGGACTTGTGCATGCCAATCAGACACTGTGCTGCTCATCTATATCCCAGCCCGAAGGAACCTGAAACCTGAAACACCAGCTCTCAAGTGTTTCCGGTCACCATACTGACCTGTGTGCTTAGCATCAATGTAACTGCATCTCCCGCCTGCGTTTCTCCGTGAAAGGACTGCTGCAACCCTGCCCCTTTCTGTTAAAGGGTAAACGAATCTGTGGACTTCTCTGACTGCTCGGAGGACACCAACCCTATCTAAATGCTCACTGAGGTTTACAGAGTGGAAGAAAATACCAATTCATTTCAGATATAAATTGCATGTACTTTAAATTTTTTTCATACTTTCTGAAATTTTCCCCTGAGTACTCTGCCCTCTTTTTATTAAAAAGGAAAACCTAATGTACAAGTTATAAATAAATAAGCTCTCTGAAAAAAAATTAAAGACTAAAAGTGAAGTTCCAGGTAGTTTTCAAAATAATAAATTTATTCCTTAAAGGTTAAAGACTAATACCTATGCTTTACTTATGTAAAGGATACTGGTACAATTAACAGTTTCATTTTATGCATTTTTTTATTCAGCATGCCAGTCCTTAAATTACTAATTAGAAGAGGTCCAAAAATAATCAACATGGCACAGAAAGTCAACACATATATACAAGATAAATAAGCATTATGAGTAACGTACCTTCCTCTTCACTAGAGGTTTTAGGGCACCCATGTGGGAGGTAAGTCAATTGGACCTTACGATTTATTCCAGAAAAGTGACCATACCTGAAAAATAAAATGGCAAACAAAGTTGACAATATTAATTAATGATGTAACTTCCTAAAGGAACACTAAATCCATATGGAAAAAAAAAAAAAACACATAATAATGCCTTTTGCATCTGTAACTACCTTTCTAAATTATTTAATGCATGCAGGAAACCTGTGTCAGACAGCCATTCTAATCCACTGTAAAATAACAAATACAAATCTTTTCTACAAGGTATACAATTCTGAAGAGATGAAAAGGTATAGAAATGTGTAAAGATATAAATAGGTACTTTATATAATTAAAGATGTAAGACTTTAAGAAAACACAATCAAACTAAACACAATTAAAATGAAAATTAGGCTTCCAAGGTAAGATGGGAGAACACAAGTAACCTCTTGTGCATCTGAGAGCAGGAATGAAACAGAAGAAACAAAATAAGTAGAAAGGACACAAGGAAAAGTCTAATTTTAAAATTGTACTTTTAGGTAAACAGCAACTCAGACTATAGTACAAGTTATGCTTTTCTCTGCCCTATGCTTGTGTATGCTTCAGAAGCTTATGCTAGTCTTCCAGGACATTAAAGCCCAAATTCTTTAAAATACTGTAAAGCCGTAAGTTGGTTTAGCTGACAAGGTACAGGGCAGAAAGGTGACTGTGGGATAAAGGAACAGATTCACAGAATGTTTTTAGGCAAACATCTTAGACACTCCCCTTAAAGGATATCAAACACCATATACCCCGAGCCCCAGATAGTATAATATGCCTCTTTCTTGCAGGCACAGAATCTATTATCTCTGAGCAGGCAACTCTTTAATTCTGCCTAATAATGCCATTTTATATCTCTCATGGATGTATCCTAAATTTTTTTCTGTGACAAAAATCAAGAACCTACTCAGTGGCTGAGTTGGGATTCCCATCTCCTCTTAAGAGGAATTCTTTGGATCCTACCTGCTGACCAAAAGAATAAGGAGTTAGAAAAGAGAAATTATATTTTGAAGACAGAAAGAGAAAGAGCTCAAGAAATCAACAAGGGCCTGACAAGAAAGCTAAAAGGCACTGAGAAGCAGAAAGGCAAGAGGGAAGGAACTGCAAAGCCGCAGAGGGGCTGGGCCTGACTCCTCACAAACAAGGCAAACCTAAATGCAAACCCACAGAAGGTATAAATCCACAAGACAGTAGAGACGAGAAGGGTGTGGGGGTCCTCCCAGGAGTCCACACAATGGGAGCTCTGTGGTGAGGAGCCAGGCACCTCACAGGTGGTTTCCTGAGTGGACTAGAGCTCAAGTGGCATTCAGTCCATGTGGGTGGGAGGTTCCTCGGGGTCTCTTGCTGCACCACTCCAGCAGAGTTCAGATGCCGTTTGCATTGCCCCCCACCCTCCAGCGTTTGCTCTCTAGGACATCTGACACATCCCTCACAGATGGATAGGCTTCTTTGGCAAGAAGGCACTTGCCAGCCCATGTGTTGTGTAGCTAATTGAGGACAGCACACTCTCCCAGTGCACAAATGGAAACACACAAAGCACTTGTGGAGTGACTAGCGCTCTATGGGGGGCGGCACCTTGAATGGTCCTGTGCAGTGGGGAAGGCGGGCAGACTCAGCAGTCACTGAGGGCCAGACAGTGAAGTGCAGGCACGAGAATACCCAAGAGGCCTGAAGAGGGACTCAAACCCCAGCCCCAAAACTGATGAATCCAGTACCAGGCTTGGAAAGAAATTTTTCTGTTCCAAATACCAGCGTGGAGTTTGGGATTTACTCATTTTTTTTTTCCTGATTTTCTCATCTTTTCTTTTTTCTTTTTTGCAGAACCAAGGATTGAATTCAGGCCCTTGTGCTCGCCAGGCAAGCACTTACTCTACTGAGCTATCTTCCCGGCCTCTCATCTTTTCTTTATTTCTTCTCTATTTTTGTTTTCTGATTTATTTTTATTTTTCCAGCTTGCTTATTTTTTTCCCATTATTTATATCTAATTGTGTTTACCCTTTTATGTTTTAGTTGGATTTTTTTTCTTTTCTTTTTTTTTTTTTTTTTTTTGCGGTACTGGGGATTGAACTCAGGACCCTGTGCTTGCCAGGCAAGCACTTACTCTACTGAGCTATCTCCCTGGGCCCTTAGTTGGATTTTTACCTCTCATTCTTTTTTCTTCTTCTTTCTCATCTTATTTTTTAGTTGGTTTCTCTTTCATTTTTTCTTTTCCTTACCACTCCATTTTTACTATTATTTATTTTTATCCCTTATAATGTATATTAATTTTTAGCCTTTTGGTTGCCTATATACTAGTATTGCTACTTCTTTATATTGTTAATGGTGGTACAGCCATTGTTTTAAATGGCTTTTAGAGGCCAGGGATGTAACTCAGTGGCACAAGTGCTTGTCTGGCAAGCACAAGGTTCTGAATTCAATTCCCAGTACAAAACAAGTAAGAAAGGTTTTTAGTGTATTTTAATCTCCGATTTAACCTTGTGCTGTTACTAAGGCAGTTTATCATGTCTGAATGGTACTGGAGGCCGCACCCTCAAAGGAAGGCTGACTGATTACTAAGAAGACCCTTATGGGGGCCTGTCCCTTAGCAGAGTTACTTAAGTGGCTGCTTCAACAAAGCAGTCAGGCTCAGGCTGCTGTGGTTCGATCCCCAGAACTCAAGCCAGCCAAACCTGCCCTGAAGGCATTCGGAGGCAGCCAAAAAAACCCAAAAGAAGACCCTTACGTACAAGCAGAAGGGACATCTATTCCAACAGGTACATAAAACCCAATACAGAAGCAAAAGGAGCATGAAGAACCACAGAAAGGTGATTCCACCAAAGATCCGTAACTTGTCGGGAACTTCAGGGATCTCACAGCGGATGACGTGGGCAAAGAATTCCAATGTCTGACTTTTAAAATGAGCACTGACTTCAAAGAAGATGTAAATAAACACTAGAATAAGTGAGGAAGACAATGCAGGAAGTGAAGGGAAAATTCTACACAGAGATTCTGAATAAGCAGCAAACAAAATTGTTGAAAAAGAAACCTCAAAAGGTCAAATGAAAAACTCAGTGAAAACTTCATCAAAGAGACTGGACCAAGGGCTGCAGGACAGCTCAGCAGCTAAGCACCTGTAAGGCGTGTGCAAGATTCCATGCCTGGTACCGCAGCATGCACTGGCCCTGGAATCCCCGCACTCCTGCAGTCCCAGCGCTGGGGAGGCTGAGACAGGAGCATCTGAGCTGTGTAGCGAGACCCTGTACCAGACAAAGAAATAAAAAATACTAAAAAAAAAAAAAAAAAGACTGGATCAGAAAGAAAATAGTACTTCATGGCTGGAACATATGGTTGATTCGTTATCATACTCAAATAACAATAAAGAAAAAATAAATCAAAAGTTAAAGAACTACGGGACACAGTTAAAAGATAATCCTATGAGGTCTGGTATGGAAGGGGGCACCAAGGTACAGATGAAAGGCAAAGAAAAACAATTCAGAGAAGTGACAGCAGAAAACTTCATACATTCTAGTAAACATAAGAGCATGCAGGCACAGGCCATGACCAGAACACATGCCCCGACGACGTACCAGTTCAAAGACCAAGAGTACAAAATAGGAGAGAAATACCAAGTCAGGTATAAAGGGAAACCCATCAAAATAACTGCAGACTTCTCTGCATAAAATCTAAAAACCAGAAAGACATGGAATGATATATACTTAAATCAAAGAAAGTAACCAGGTTGCTATAGCCAAAGCTATTTTTCAGAACTAAAGGGGACACATTTTCCAAGATAAGCATATAATAGAGGAATGTATGACAAGCCAACATTGAGGAAAAACACCTCCACGTGTCGGTGCAGAGAATCTATACTGTTAAAATAGCCAAGCTACAAAAAGCAATCTACAGGTTCCCCAGTGACATTCCTCACAGAACTAAAAAAAATCCCAAAATTCATACAGAAACACAAAAATAATCCTAAGCAAAAGGAGCAATGCCAGAGCCATCACAAAAGCTGATGTCAAATTACAGTACAAAACCATAACAACAAAATAACATGGTACTGGCAAAACACATAAACCAACCAGACACGTACACCAATGGAATAAAATCAAGGATCCAGAACAAAGCCAACAACTACCGCCATCTGATTCTTGACAAAGGAGCCAAAATACACACAAGGGAGAAGAGGTTCAGCGAAAACTGGATAGCCGTATATAGAAAATTTAAGCTACATTCTTTTTTTTTTTTTAACTCAGGCCCTTGAGCTTGCCAGGCAAGCGCTTATCCTACTGAGCTATCTCCCCAGCCCCTAAGCTACATTCATAATAGCACTGAGAAATACAAAATACGTTGGAAACAATCTAACAAAGGATGTAAAAGATGTTTACGCTGAAAACTATGGCATGCTGCAAAAGGAGTTCAAAGAATATACTGGAAAATGGAATATTCCTTGTTCTTGGGTAGGGAAGAACAAACATACTGAAAATGGCCTTACTCCCAAAATTGTTACAGAGACTTGATGCAATCCCAATCCAAATACCAATAGCATACAACACAGAACTAGAGAAAACGGTCCTACTTTTTTTTTTTTTTTTGCTTCAAAGAAGTTCTTAAATTCGATACAGCCCCATGTTTTGATTTCGTATTATTAACACCTGCTTTTGGAGTCCTGTGAAAGTTGTGGCCTCTGGCTCGGACTTCACCTGCGCTCCTGCTTTGTTCTAGCAGCTTCAGGGCTTCACACCTCATGCCAGGCGGGGCGGACCTGAGGCGCACGTGCTGCAGCTTGTCCACAGAGCACCGTCAGCACGCAAGCCATGCTGCCCCAGCCGCCTAGCATTCAGGTTAACTGCGGTGTTGGCGTCTGGGGATCAGTAAGTGGGTTTGGGGTTGTGGTTTGGGCACTTGGTCTGCAAAAGAGCTGCCATCACTCTTACACCGAGGCCTTTGATTCTTTAGTGGTTCTGTTCTGGTTTTATGTATTTATTTATTTTTTGGTGCTGGAAATCGAACTCAGGACCTTGTGCTTGCCAGGCAGGCACATATGCCGCTGAGCTATCTCCTCAGCCCTGTTCTATTTTTCTATATGGAACAGATCCTGAACCTTTTTCCACTCTTGGTGGGAGCACAGACTGGTATAATCACTGTGGAAATCAGTGCAGAGATTCCTACAAAAACCCTGAAACCAGAGGTTTCATTTGACCCAGCTATTCCCCTTCTGGGTGTCTTTTTGAAAGAATAAAACACATCACACTACACGATGTATGCACATCCATGTTTGTAACAGCACAGTTTGTAACAGCTAAATCTTGGAAACAACCCAAATATCCATAGACTGATAAATGGATAAAGCTGTGCTTTTCTTCATCCTATGGAGTACTGCTCAGTCATAAAGGATAAACTTGAGACTTTCCTAGGTAAATGGATGCACCTTGAGATCATACTCTTAAGTGAAATAAATCAAACACATGTGTAATTACTGCATTGTTTCTCTGGTCTAAGTAATCAAAAGCATGAACAAGGACCAGAATGTATACTAGATACTATGAAGTAGGAAAAAAAAAAATCAATTAGGAAGGGGGAACTAAGGAGGAGGGAAGAGGAAATGAAGGAAGGGAAAAAATGAGAAAAATGAAGACACAGTTTTTGTAAATAAGGAGGGAAAAAGAAATTGAAGGAAGGTAAAAGGAATGGGTGGAAATCTTGAGATAAGTTGTGTACAGGTGCAATGCAAAGTCCCTATAATAAAAGTGATCACTGTCACTATGTAATGTAGCGATAAACTTAATCATAAAATAAAAAAGAAAAAATCTGCACAGTGTATACAAAAAGGAGAAAATCTTTACCCGCTCTCATTCAATAGAAGATTAATACCTAAAATGTACAGAAACCTGAAAATACTTACTACCAAGAAATACATAAAAAAATAAATGGGCAAATAGCTTTCAAAGTACAAAATGGTCAATAAACATATGAAATCATGTTTAACATACCCAACCACTACAGAAATGCCAATCACAAGAACACTGACATTCCAGCTCAAAATAGTTATTGTCAAAAAAAAAAAAAAAAAAAAAAAAAAAAAGAGAGAGAGAGAGAGAGAAGGATAAATTCTACTGAGGATGCAGGGGAAAAGGAACCCTTTGCAATAATCATAATTAAATTAGAACAGCCATCATGGATATCAATGCAGAGATTCCTCAAAAAACTAACAATAGAACTACCGTGGGATCCAGCCACAGTACTCCTTGGTGCATACCCAAAGAAATTAAAGTTAACATACTAAAGGGATACCTTCACATTCATGTTGACTATGGCACAAGCCATGACATCTAACATATATGGCCATTCTAACATGTGTACCCATCAATGAAAGAAAAAATATATATATTTTTCAGCCATAAAGAAAGTATATCATTTGCAAGAAAATGGAACTAGATATCATCATGTTGAGTGAAATAAGTCAGACTCACAGATAATTTTGCATGTTTTCTCTAATAAGTAGAATCTAATAAATACAAAAAATAAAATAAGATGATATGAAAGTTGAAGGCAAACTATTATTAGATAAAAGGAAGAAAATACAGGATGGAGCAGTATGTAAAAAAGGGAATAAGTGGGAAGGACGTGATTAAACTGGGAGAGATGTATATACGGAAACACACCATCGAAACCCAGTAGTCTATACAATTAATATGTACTAATAAAAATATATTAAAGTGAATAAAGTGGAAAGTCATACCTTCTTAAAAAGGGAGAAGTATAAAAATTAAGAGCTTTGAAAGTTACTCACATCTCTAACACAGTTTTAAGTTGTTCAAGTTTGGACTTGTTTTCCTCAATTTCAGAGTCATTATTTTGGCCTAGTTCCATAAGAAGTTGTCGAGTAATATCAAGCACTTCCTATAAAAGATAGTTGATAAAGAAGTGAATTTCTATGTGATTTCACCATTAAAAATTTTAAATACAGTAAGAAATCAAATACACTTGCCTGTAGTTGTTTTGGTTTTTTGAGTTTTAACTTCCCTGATTTATATCCATCACACTTCTCAAAAAGATCGAAAAATCTTATATAAAAAAAAGAGCACTATTAGTCACTTGCAATAATTAATATTCATATTATGTAGTTAAACTTACAAAGTGAGAGAGATGGCAAAAGAATTGAAAACCTGTGAACTTCACATATTATATTTTCTCTCTCACTCTATTACACCATGTTTCTGCTCTATTTTCTTTCCTCCAGAGATGAGGGTCTTGCTATGCAGCCCAGGCTGGCCTGGAACTCCCTGACCCAAGGGATCCTCCTGCCTCATCTCACTCCACTATTCCCTGCTTTTGCTTTCTCCATTTACCACACAGTTTACTATTTTCTTAAACCATATCAATCCAACAGTCACCACATTACTTTTTTGAAGGTCTCTCAAGATAGAAACTAAACATAATGTTTTGTGGTGCTGTGGTATATTCTCTGAACTAAGTGTATACAAATTAAGAAATACCTGTCAACACATATTCAACAATTGAGGTTTCCAAATTTTACCATCAAGCACTGACTGGAACTAGCTAGCTTTCTATTGATTTTCTTCTAGAGGGCCAAGAGGTTAATGATTCTCAGAATCCAAGGCGAGAGAATGATAGCCCAAGATTACAGAGAATATCTTCACAACAAGTTAAACTCAGGTCAGACTGGTATTTGTGGATATTACCACAATAACTGCCAGATGCTAACACATACTAGTACTTGGAATAAATTTGTATTTATTCAATGATTTAAACATTAATGTCAAATATAGAGCAAGTAAGTTGCCTATATAATGTATTAATCAAAAAGCACAATATTCATCAGAACTTAAATTTATATCGTACTATTTTTCTTGAAACACACCTTTGGTGCCTCACTTCCATTTTCATTTTTTGTTTTGGTGTTCTATCCCCATGACGTATGACAGCTATGACACATCTAAGTTCCATCCTAAAATAAAAAAAAATGTTTTCAGTTGTCTAACAAGGATTTACACTATATAATTTAGATTAATATTGAGCCAGTCTTTTATCTTTCAACTTCTTCAAGTACTTATAATATGCTAGTCTTTAATTTCATGAACAAACCCTGAAAATAATTTAAAGCTAGAGGAAGAGGACAGTAAGAATCTGGGACTCCTGTCTCTCCGAAGCTATTCCTGCTCCCCACGCCTTTTCACAAATAACTTTTTCCACTCTTAAAAATAAAACAAAGCAAACAACGACAACAAAGAGCTTTCTCATATCAAGAGATGCCAAAGTTCTCTCTGGGATAAAAGGACGTGGACTCTGACCTCGGAATATCTGCCCCACAGCACTGGATGGGAAGCAAGTGAGACTTCCTTAAAGCAAAACAAAAAACAAAAAAAACCAGAGCTCCGCCTGACAGCTATCATAGCTACACATCTGCTAGATTTTGTCTACTTAAGAACAAGTATAAAACTCAACTTACTGGAAGCTAACGCTACTTTAGCAGCATGCTAGAAGTAAGAGGCACGGCTTAGAGTTTGTTGACGTGTGAGCTGCTGAATAGGCTCCAGCAACATGCTACGAACAATTAACTGGAAAAAAAATTGTGTTGAAGAAGCCTAAGAAATGCTGACTTAAAAACAAAATTAGATGATTTTTCCTCCAATCTGGCTTTTCACGAACATTTACCATGTTAATATAAAGCTGCGAATACGAAGCACTGAGTCAACTTATCTGACTTGCCCAAGTGTGATCTTCCTTCGCAAAATGCAAAGATGCACTGCAATCCTGGTCTCATGATTTCACCTCAAGACACAAGTGGCAAGCGCCGAAGCTGTACGCCTACAGGGACCTTCAAGTCATGTGCCTACTGGCACCTCTTTTTCTGGCATGGCTTGATTACACAGTTCTTTAATTTTTCAAGGATGTTCCAGGATTTCATTTGTAAAAAAAAATCAGACTTTTAATCTAGGAGACCTTTGTAAAAACCATATAATCTACTCTCCCATAGTAAGACTGAGTTATATAAAAATATATACCACATAGTCCCTATGACCATCCAAAATTTATTTTTTCTTGGAATATCACTGATCAAAAAACTCAAGAATTTCGACATGAAAAGAATTCAAACTCACATAGTTCCCGATGTAGTTGGTACAATCGGAATATCCTCTGCCTCTAAGGGTATTGACCAGGGGATATGGAACTGGGGGGCCAGTTCTCGCATCACAATGTTTCTGCAGGACAGAAGCACAAAGCCAAACAAACTCCACAAATGAGTTCAGTTAAAGATAAAATTGGGACAGAATAATAAGGACTCAGAAGGCAGACTAATACATAAAAATTAACAGAAAGAATCAATCCAAAGAATCAATCCTGATCAAGAAAAAGTTTATAACTTTGAAACCGGTGCGTAAGAACACTGAGGAAATACCACAGACTTCAGTTTTACTATGTGTTTCAGTTTTAAAATCAATATTGGAATTAAATAAATCACTATAATTAGATAATTTCTAATTACATACGTTCTAGAATTCAAGACATTCGTGTGTGAATGTTGATATTACTTTTTGCGTTATGCACTGAGCCTATGTAATGCCATTCTAAACATTATACCTATTTTAAACAAATGAGTACTATACTAATAGCAGATCATGCTTGGATAATTACATGAGTTTTGATATTCTCTATGCTAAAATTTAGTGAACTACTTCCAATTTCATTTCAAGGATAAGTTCACAAACCTTTCAAACATGTTATAAAAGCCAGCTCCCATTATTAAACATTTCAAAGCACTAAGTTCTCTGTGGCTTTGTCACATGTACTTTGAAATTAATTAATTAATTTATTTGCGGTACTGGGGATTGAACTCAGGACCTCGTACTCGCCAGGCAGGTGCTTATTCTACTAAGCTGTCTTTCTGGCCCCTTATACTTTGAAATTCAAAGAAGTTTTTACCTTGCTAGTCTTTTCAAACAAGGTATTAAGGAAACAGGTCAGTGAATACAAAAGTGATTATTTCTATATGCAGTAATTTTTTATATTCATTTGATAATTTTGTGAGAATATCTTGAAATAACATCCAGTACTGTTGTAGAAAGAAATTAAAAATGAAAAACAAAATCTTGAATTTCAAATATCTCTATTTCACTAGGTTATCTTATATATTTTAAATTTTGAATAAGCAAACAGGACAATGAAATCTTTCAATGATTTTTACATAGCAAAAGCTTGAGGAATGTTTTGATTAATCATTTCTAAATCTATAAAATTAACATCTTAAGGCCTTTATAGTGATTATAAATTACAAATTAATCTATCTTTGATAACTGTAAATATAATTTAGCACCTGGCAGTCTTTGAGAACATCAATCTACAATGGTTAAAAATAAACGTATTCATCTAATATTAACAATTATTTGGCTTCTGAATAACTAGTATGCAAGGTAAGGAAAAGAAAAATTAATAAATACTTACCCAAGTATTTTTGCACAATCATCATAATACTTCATGGAATTTTTCACAAAACTGAAGCCATTGACATCACAGACATAGGACTGTCCATTGGCCCGTAATAAATCAAAGCCACAAACTGTTTGCTATTTAAAACAAGTTGTAAACTTTAACGTTTAAATTAATATAATTCAGTTTTCTAATCTTATTAGAACAAGTCTCTATAAATGCCAAAAAACATGTTGTTATACTTCATGGTAAGAAATGAAATAAATTACTTATTAGCAACTACAATACTGAGGATACATTATGTATCCTGCACAATTATTTAAGCTTCTCATCAGAAAATAGCCACGCACAAAGAACTAGAAATGCACAATAAGGACATGTTATATTAAAAATCTTTCACGAACATTTAAATTTAAAAATGAAAGAATTTGAATGAATACATTTTATACTAGTAGAAATTAAGTCATCTTTATCCCTCCCCAAAAGGAAACGTTCTAGAGGAAGTATTCAATTAGCCCTGTACATATTTTAACACCTGCAAAATCTATGAGTGAACACTGGAAATTTTGATTTACTTAAAAGAAGAAAATCACTGAAAGGTATAAATTTCCTGTTCAAGTTGCAAGAGTTTTCTTACATTCTACATTTTATATTGAAGTCATCATGCATTAGTACAAGGTAGTTTTAAGACAAAATTTTAGGATCTTAGCATGTCACATAATTTATAAAAATCTACTAAAGCTTATTCGTGGGTTAACATTCCATATAAATAGTACAACTGGTTTTTAAGAATAGGCTAATCCATGCCCTAAGCAATGGTTATCAGAGTTAGTCTGTGTGATTTAAATTTCTGAATAAATGAATAAAATTTCCTTCCATATAATATAGGAAGACTATATTGGTACTATAATACTACACTATATTAGCACGGTAAGAACACATTGAGACATATACGAATGGTTCAGATGTACTAATATGTTCTCAGCTTACTTCTCTAATTTTAAGTCCAAATAATATTTCTTACTCAAAAAAGTAAGTTAGAATTCCTTTTATAAGAGCCACATAGAGCCAGGAATACAGCTTAGTAGCACACAAGTACCTGCTTGTCAAGTGCAAGGTCCTGAGTTTGATCCTTGATACAAAACAAATAAATAAATAAAAAGCCAAATGGCTTATAGCACACCTTACCTTAAAAGCAAGGCACACTTTCCAAGCGATTAATTTCTCTCGTGCATTGAGAATAACAGGGTATCTTACTTCTTTCCCTTCACTGTCTCGCTCTACCTTGCCATCCAGCGCTGGAGACTTTCGAGCTTCTGCATGGGCATAATCCGGACCCACTGTATAAACCTTCCGTGAATGGTAAACACACAATGCAAACATAAAACCAAAAACAATCAATTCCAAGAAAAAAAAAATCAACAAAAACAGTTCAGCTTTCTTTCTTTCTTTCTTTCTTTTTTTCTTCCAACTCTGAAACAAGGTCTCTGTCCTTCTTTAGGGACACCAGGCTGGACTCAATGTTGCAATCCTCCTTCCCTGTCTCCCAGAAGACAGGTGTGTCCCACCACAGCTACTTTCCCGTGTATTTTGCTTTAAGCGTTCAGGAATACTATTTTTTAAAAGGGTCCATAAACTTCCACTTGTCAAACGTGCTCATGGAAGGAAACAGATTAAGGACCTCTAATCAAAAAGACCCAGAACAAAAGTTAGAAGTAGCTACAGGATTCTTTTTCTGAGATTACTGGTAAGCTCAAAATCCAAACTTAAAATTTACAGTTTGACTTGCATTTTTTTCCTACTTGATTTATGGTGGTGCAAAGACAATACACATTCAGAAATCATATTGTGCATTTTGGTGTTTTCTGGAGCCAGTAATACGCGTGTGGTCTGACACACTCTCACCATGCACGGCAGCGGCGGTGAGTTCTAGCTTCCGGGCAGCCTCGCGATGGTGGGCATAATAATGTTGCACGGTACACTGCGTCACTGGGCCACTGTTCTCACCACGCTAAGTGTAGTAAACGCTTTTAGAATTTATGGCATTTTCAACTTGCAAAGAGTTTATCATCATTTTGTGACTCCAATTTGTAAGTTAGGAGTATCTATACTTGAATCTGCTCTAGTATAACATCAGTACCCCTATATATACGACATTAAAACGTGCTTTCAATCCTACCTTAACGTCAGTACCATCTGTGGGCATAAACTCTTCATATATGTATGACCCTGTTTTTCGTACATTGCTTTCTGGGGAATACACACTACTTCTACTGCCAATCTGAAAATAAAAAAAGTTCATCAAAATAAAAACCAAATTATTTTCTTCATTTTAATAATATATATTTTTAACAACTCTTATTTACCATCTTTTCCACCTTAGAAATTTTCAAAGAATTGATTAATTCACATTTAACAATGTTTATTATGTATTTGGTACTATATTATTGTGTGCCATCTTGGTAAATTATACAAAAGTTAAAGGGGACAAAAATACAACGTGGGCTGGGAATATAGCTTAGCGGCACAGAGCCTGCCTGGCAAGCTTCAGGTCATGAGTTCAAGTCCCGGTACCCCTTACACCCCCCCAAAAATACAATGAGCATTGTTTCTAGTATTCAGCCACAATAGAACATGTTCATGTTTACTAGTACAGCATTTTTTTACTGTGTAAATACACAAGAAAGCATTCACTGTCCTAGCAATGTCTATTCAGGTTGTTTTCCAAGCTTTGGTTATTAAACAGTGTTACTTTAAACATTGTTTTAGACGTCACTATACACATGGGCACAACTGTGTTTCTAAGGAATCATTAGATGGCGCCATGTTCAGCTTTCAAAAATACTGCTGAAATTTTTTAGAAACTATTTTAGCAATTTAGTCTCCCTAGCAATATGTAAGAATGTCAGCTATTCTACCTTCTTATCTGTACTTGGCATCGTGAGGCTCTGGTATTTGTAACTAGAATGGATATTAACATGGTATATCACTTTTTAAAAAAATTTTATTTTATCAGTACATGTCTACAATACAGGACACTCACATTCTTCTTAGGGAAGAGGTATATAACACATTTAAATTTTTTTTTATTCCTCCTCTCTTTTCCACCCACCATTTTCCATGATTACATAGATACACTTTTAATTCTCATGCATTGATAAATTATATTGCTACGAGGCTGAATTTCTACCAATAATTTTAGGAGATTACATGTATTTCCCAAGTACTTCAACAGATTCTTTATCTTTGCCAATCAAAAATAATATTCATTACATTTCAGATTTAATTCACATTAAACATACATTCCTGTAAGTAAAAGTTATTAGTATTGATTTTTACTTTTCTTATGAACTCTTTTTATTTTTCTAGGACTTTTTTAAAGACTGCTTATTAACTCAATTTCAAATTTTACAGAAACATGAAGGAAAGTTAAAATGAAAAATCATGTAATTTTCTTGGTATTCTGTAGGCAGAAATTTTGCATAGTAAAATTGAATAATCATCACAATACCTTGCTTTTCTAACACAGTACAACATCAATTTTATGAATTTACCTCTAAATAAAGCATTTCTAAAAGTTTAACATTTAATCAGAGTTTTATCAAAGACTTAATTGCTTTCTATAAAATTTATTTTTTAAGTAAAATGTATACAACGAAGAACAAAATACAAAATTACAGAAGTTCACCTTTCTAAAGAGTCTCTGACTGCCACCTCCGGCAGAAGTTGGATAATAAATGTAAACATTGTGGTCTTCCGCGCTGACTGGCTTTTCTACAAATGGTTTTTGAAAAACTTCCCCATTTACTTCCACGTGATCTTCCCCTTCAATCAAATTACATTCTACAAATCAAACAGCAAGAAAAATTGCATACCAAAGTAATGACCTAAATTACATTTTTCTGAAGGAGAAAAAAAAAAAAAAAAAATATATATATATATATATATATACATACACAATTTATTCTGCTTTCCAGCAAAATTCTTTTTATGCTTCCTAGCAAAAGTGAATTTACCTTATAATAACCTTCAGGAGAGAAAAAAATTCCTTTTTTTACACCAAGAGTCTAAGCTGGCCGTACGTTATAATCACCCACCTCTGAAGCTTTTGGAAATTTACTGGAGCACAACATTGGGGGCTGGGGAGTTTAGCATAGACATTTCTAAAACCTCCCTTGTGATTCTGATTTGCATCTGGGGTTAAAATCTTTTTTTCAGTCCTGCAAAGACTAAGATCACGGTGCAGTAATCATCGCCAGCTGAATGTTTCTCCTTGCACATGCGCACTGGCAATCAGGGCTTTTGCAATGGATGAAAGCACTCCAGCAGGCAACTTCCTGCTCCGTCTTTATCTTCTATGTCTTGCCCCCATGGAGAGCTTACTCACTATTTTTCAGATAAACAGAAGAAAAACAGTAACAGGAGCTTTCGTATATTAGTACTACTATTTTGAAATTATTTCTAGTTATCAGATATTTAATCCTGGTATCATAGCTTATCACAGAGCAGTCACTTGTTCCTTCCTAATCCACACAAATCTGCTAGCCAGGCAGTGTGAACACTATCTTTTGTGATTCTAGAAGGTATGTCAAATGGAGACTAAAGAAAAGTAAGACAAGGGCCGGCCAAATAGCTCAGTGGATTAAAAAACCTGCCTAGGCAGACGCGGGGGCTAGGAGTTCAATCCCCACTGAGAGGGTGACATGGAGGCATGCGCCTGCAATCCCAGCTCTTTGGGAGGCTGAACACAAGTGGATCACTATGAGTCTGATCTACGCAGTGAGACCCTGTAGACCCTTACTTAAAAAAAAAGAAAAAGAAAAACAAGACAAAAAGTCCTAAATTAATAGTTAACTTTTATCTCACAATGTCATATTTTAATGGAATATAATGCTTGCTGGTTTAGCCATTAAGAAAAATATTAAGTGAAATACTAAAAATTCTTTAAATGTCTTCTACTTAATTATTGCAGAGATGGGGCCAAAAGTAAGTCAAGCGGGGAAAGGTAACTTGTTTAAAATCTCTTACTTTTACCTTTCGGGTTATTTGGATCACGGTTCAGAATTGCATAACGAGGGAGTAAGATACCTTCAGCTTGAAGAATACTATACACTTCTCTCCTAAGGAAAAAGAAAAAGATTCTATTGTCTTCATGCTCTATTTCACACGAATATATTATTGCACTTTTAAATTATACGACTGTTCTATTATTGATCTATTATTACCTACTACTCTCAATGTCACTGAGACTTTAAAACAAAAAGTACCATTTCAAATGCCAAAAACATTTCATAAGGAAGTGTTCAGCAATGAGAGCAGAAATCAAATACTTTTTTGTAGCATATTAAAATAGTAATTTTAAAACAAGAATGGAAATGTTAAAAAGAAATGGTTAAAACTGATAGAACCCACTATAATCTATTAAAATTGTTATGCTCAATCAGGAGCCAGGGAGTTAGCTCAGTAGAATAAGTGCTTGCTTGGCAAGTGCAAGTACCTGAGTTCAATCCCTGGTACCATCCAAACAAACAAACAGAAAATTATTATGCTCAAATAATACTTAATGCCATGGAGAAACACACACAGAATGCTAAGAGAATGGTTTTTCTGGTTTATGAAATATGACTTTATATATGTACTGCTTTTTAAAAAAAATTTTGGTACAACTATTTAATTTATTAAAGTGTGTAGAACATGGATTTATATATGTATATATATAGCTATATTATAGATAAACATGTACTTGCATAAACCTAAGAAAATGTTTTAAATGTTTAGACAGTAATGCGACTATCTGAGAGAACAGAAAAAAAAATAGAAAACCAAAACTATAGGGGTCTTCTACTTCATAAAATATTTTCATATATAAATCTCATAATTATAAAATTCTGGTAGCTAAAAGTGAAACATCAACTTAATAAAATACATAAATATATTCATATTTTATAAGTTCTTTTAGAAATGTATTCTTTTGGTTTGTTGAGTGAATGCTAAAATATATAATATTTTTAAAATAAGTATACTTTACCGTTAATAATAATCACATTATAGAAAAATTTTCTAGGGTTTATTTGGCTTCGGAAATTAAACAAACAGTTTAAGTACTTGTCTAGTTACCTCAATACTACTTGTCACTTTGGGCACATTAGTTTACTTTCCTGATTGTTAACTTTTCTTAACACTAAAATTAGTTAATCTATGTCTATTACTGAACATTATTTTAAGAATTCAATGAATTAATATCTGTGAAAATATCTGATGACTGCCAGTGTATACAGTATTAAATACTAAATAAATGGTAATTTTCTTTCCCTTAATTTAGCCAACTGGATCACTCACCTATCTTGTATGAGATACTGCATATTCAAGTCATTGATTACAAATGGATTCCTGAGTTTTGCATAGGCAACTGCTTTGTCCAGTGGAAATCCTAAGAACACATATTATTAACATATTCTGTCCCATCTCAAGATAAACTGACATCTATAATTTTATCAACTTCAATTGATGCCATTGCCCATAAAAGAACAATTTCATACATACTGCCTTCTATAAAATGCATAGAAAATATAGACTCTGATTTAATTTATACTATTAAATCTCACTTTTTGCTAGTTAATGTCACACATAAGGCAAACCAAGCAAGTGGTTATATAACCAAATTAGAGCCTTGAATGTTACTGATGATGAGTATTCAAAGTCATGTGACAACCTTATATACAAAGGAAACTCTACAGATGAAGAGCAGAAGTGCATCACAATTACCTAATGATTTTTTAGAATACACTGCATGTGCAAGTTTCTCATTTGATATTTCCATGTCTATACATAGAAATGAGTAGATACTCAACTTATGTACCTTTCAAACTAGCAAATGCAAAAATGAACTCACACGCAGCACGTATGCTCAAAGTTTGAAATAAATGAGTCTATTTGTGCTGTTGCTAAGTTGCTGTTTGACAACAAAACTAATTTCTTAAACTTGCTACTCTCATAAAACATTTAGTTACAACGCAAACATATTAAATGGCAGCTATGGTAAGAAGAGGCATAAAGACATAAGGAACTGATGCATTGATCTCTGCATGGAGTGACATCTCAGTGTTCTTTTCCATTCTGAAACAGGATCTCTCTAAGTCTCCAAAGTACCTAAGTGGGGCTTGAATCTAGAATCCTCCTAACTCCTCCTTACAGAACGCAGGGACAGCAAGGGTCTGCCACCATAATCTGCTAAGAACCTTAATGTTCATATTTAACTCTTGATATTTACTGTGACAATCTCCAGTAGTATCCATCAATATACAACATTAAAAAAGGGAGCAGACCCAAGCAGGGTTGCCCCATACCTATACTCCTATCCCTCAGGGTGCTGAGGCAGGAAGACTGCGTGAGCCTAGGAGTTTGCAACCAGCCCGGCATATCTGAGAGTATAAACTCCTTCACAACCTGGCTTCATCTTTCATTAGCTATGAATGTAACCTTGGGCAAACTTAACTTAGCATCTCTAAACTTCAGTATAAATTAGCAACTATATATCTCAACTATAAATGTGCCTATTAGTCTCACCAAGAAGGATTTTTAAGAAACTAAATAAAAATTATGCTTGTACAATACCTGGTATAGAAAGGGCTCAATAAATGCTACCTGTTATTCCTTAAGTGGCAATATTTTAATGAGTATCTTTTCTATGGGAAAGCATAAACACAGCAAGCTAGTACAACTTTAGAATTTAATGCATACTAAGTGAATTATTAGTGAAGACACCAAATTTTTGCAATATTAGAAGAATATCAAAGAGAAAGCAAAACACATACTAAAATTCAAAGCCAAAACCCAAAAAGCTACATTCAATTAAACAAGATTTATTCCTAAATAACTTTGTTTTTAAAATTTCAGCAGATACTCTATGCTAAAAATCAGCCACAAGTAGGGCCAGGGAGATAGCTCAGTAGAATTAAGTATCTGCCTGGCAAGTGCAAGGTCCTGAGTTCAATCTCCTGGTACCACAAAAACAAACAAACAAACAACACAACACAACACCATCAGCCACAAATTACATATCCCTCAAGGTTCTATGAAGACTCTCAGAAGTTCTCTCTTGCAAAGGTATCTCAATGTCTCTGGCTTCAAGGGTCCTAACAGAATTTAGCAAATAGAAAAGAGCTTTATTTTGTTAGTTCTCTGCTTTGATTGCTGTCAGAGAGGAACATGGCCCTTACCAAGAAACTGTATATGTATATGGGATCCTTGGAGGTAACACCCAGCTTTTACAGCCGAACAGTTTTTACAGAAAGAATCATATGACTGCGAGAGGAAAAACACCTTAGCCTCAATATTGGCATGTTTTAAGTGATCTGGAATAAGGGGTGTTGGTCAGCAAAGATCAGAGCTCTGATTCCATTTAATAATGAAATTTAATTCACACTCCAGAGGCACAAAGTCTCACACATGCCTCCTCTTCTTCCTTGTTCAAGTGGGGCTCTGTAGCAGCTCAGAGTACAGACAGTAACAAGGGTGATGAAATGACATGTCAATAGTTTACAGTGGAAAATTAGGGTTCCTAGTGGGAAATTCACTTAATTCACAGATTTTTGGCTTGTAAGTTTTCAGATATACACTTAGCAATAATTCTGATTAATGCATTTTACTATTAAGTAATACATAAGCTTAACTGATATTTCAATTATTAAAGGCTAGCAAGATCTAAAATTTTAAATGTTAAGTTCTTAATAAATAAACTATAAATACAGATATAATAAGAATGATAAGATCAGGTTTTTTTAAAGATTGTTTTCTATATGGTGAAAACATAGGCCTTAAATACGTAACAATTCAAGAATTTATCCCATAAAATGCAAATGCAAAAAGTTATACATTCAAAGAGCTGATTACAACCTTAGTTTTAGTAATGAAAACTGAAAATTGTCTAAATGTTCAGATATTAAATATGTTGTCATAAACTTACCCAATTATATACTAAACTACATTAAAAATGAGGTTATTGAAGAATGACAGAGGAAAAAAAAATCCCTCCTGATAAAACAAAAAAGTTACATACTTACACATACACCATGACACTAAATTTAAAAATAATACTGAAGAAAACTGGAGAGAAGTATTATCAAAATATTAATATCACTTATCTACAATAGTAGGTTCATTTTATTTTTGTTTTATCCAATGTGCTATAATTATGTTATAATTTTTAATCAAAAAAGATGAAAGAGATCTCTTTCTTTAATACCTTTAGAATGGAAAGAAATAAGACAATCACATAAGGGCCAATTTTCCACTGGTTCATTCAATATAACCTCCTCTTCAAACACTACTACTGTGATATATTTAAATAAGGAGATCCGTTCCAGAATTTCCTTCATTGGCTTGGATTTGGATTTCTTTGCCATGGAACATATTCCAACTATAATCTGCCTTTCTGGAGGCTAAAACAGAAACAAAATTAAAAAAATCAGGTTAACTTAATATGAACTCCAAAATACAGTTGCCCTAACACCATTTCAGAAGTAGGCGAGGCATGTGATAAACCAATAAAGTGACACATTGACGAACAAAAGCATTTCAAAAATTTGTATGATTAAAAACTATAATAAAAAACTTTTAAACAAAATAAACTTCCTACAAAAGTGGGGACAAACTGCAGAAACCCACTTTTAGAACCTTGCTACAATTTTCCAACCAAACTTAAGACGCTCCTCTTTAACTGCCACCAGCATTCACACACCACCTGAGGGCCAGGCTGCCCCCAACCCCAGAGAAAGGTCACAGAAATGACAGAAAGACATTTCCTGCCTCTACGAAGCTGTAGTTCCAACTACAAAGCTATGAAGCATTTGAGTACAGTATTTTTGTCTTCTGAGCTCAATACCATTTGGTCACAAATGACAAATTCAATGGAAATTTTAGAAAAAGAAACACTGCCGAAGCTATCAAGATTCTTTGATACTCTAATCTTCATAATCACTTTTGCTACTTATGGCTCAAAGGTCCTGAACCAGTCTAAACTAAGAAGGCAGAACATAGAAACAGTAACAATCAGTACCCCATGGATTTATAAAATTACTCAAGAATAATTAAAAAATTATTCATTTTGAGATCTTAGATTCAGGTGTTTAGAGATTTACCAGCTATATAATGTGGTACTGTTTGTCATTTTCTCTCTTTTACGTGATTTTATATATTTCATATGACATTATAATCTAGGCTTGAAAGTGTATTAGACTTTCTCTGAGATTTTAATTTTATCCAAGAATAAAATTGGACAGCACTGGAATGAACTCATTCTTCTTCATGCTTAGAACTGCATTTCTATACTATTTCTTCTAACTCAGGCAATAGAGCCTTGCAGATCAGTATGAGACGATTATAAATCGTAACCTTCCTGAGATCTGCGGCCTTTACCTCCTCTGCTCATCTACTTCAGCACTGCCTTATTTAATTTATTCCTGATCAGAAAATCTTGATTTAGCTTATTATAATACTCCTTAAGTCATTTTCCCAGCACAAAACATTTCACGAAAAGAAAACTAATATATTCTGTTATTCTATTACAGACCTATGCAATGATATCTGTTCATGACTAAAATGAATAGAAAACATTCACATTAAAAATATGAATAAAAAATCTATATTATAAGATACAACAGAATTTTCTTATTAGGTAAAAACTTAAAAGCAAAAAATAATTTTTAAAACAAACGAGTCATTGTGTGAAATTTAATGTCTAACAAAATAGAAGTTCACTTTGAAATTATAACAGGAGAACAATCTGGAATAAATTATTTTATGAAGTTCTGGGTCAAATGAAACAAATAAAACTCTTTGAAAGTGAATCATTGATGCAAGTTCAGCTTGTAACCAATATTCTAAATGCTGGAGATTACATATACAAAAGTAGCTGCTATCAAAGAACTTTGAGTGTAACAGGGACTACAGTAATAATGTAACACACTATACAATGGGATAGTGTACACATGGCAAGGTACTGACATAGTATTAAGGAAGAAGTGATCAAATTTCTCAGGAAGAAAAGAGCAAAAAGAATGGAAAGAGTGAAAGACATGAAATCTGAGCATGGTTTTTAAGATTAAAACATAATTCACCAGCTACTCCAAAATAAAGGCATACCAGAAAAGGTATGCAAGCACACAGAAGCAAAACTGTGTAGCACAGCATGGAATAAATACATTCAAATAAAAATTCTGCTGTTACTAAAACATAAAGGCTTGAAAGGAGAGAACTAGGGGGAGATCGGAGAGAGAGAACAGCCCTTACTTGTAAGGGGACTGCACTTGCCCTAGCAGCAGGACTGACATGCTCAAAAGAACACTAGAGGAAGCATTGGACTACAGTATTTCTGTCTTCTGAGCTCAATCTCAGTTGGTCACAAATAAGGCCAGGAGAGGCGTCAGCAGTGCTTTGTAGTCTGAGTGAGCGGAAGAAACCCTGCTTTTTTTTAATTTTTTTTTTCTGTTTTACTTACTAGACTTCCACATACTTCAGAAGAAGAAATGTTTTGAACATAAGAGAAGAGCTTAAAAATCATTATGTTTAGGGGTACCGGGTGCTTACCCTTGAAGCCTCCTGTATTGAAGTTTTTAAAATAGTGACAATCCAATTTATTTCTATCTATCTATCTCCATTGTAAATAATATTATTCTAAGAAAAAAGTTAGAAGTTAACTAATAGCTACTTTTGGTTTGTTTTTTACTACTTTCACCAATTGTAATAGGCTTTTCCTTCAAAATAAAAATGTCATTCCAATGTAAAATACAAGAAACAAACACTGTTAAGTCTGCACTTTAAATCAGGCCTCAGAATAAAGCCATTTGCATTGTGCAAAGAGAACAATGAATGAGAAAAATGACTGCAGCAAAATGAACATAACACATGGGTGTCACTCCTAAGATCCACGACGGCTGGAACATTCTAATATGTCAGGAAAAGCACAGCACAGTCACACACACAGACACACACACAGACAACTTGTGATAGCCTCTCCTTCCAGCCACTCATTTTGTAGACTTCTGAACTGTTTACAGCTGCGTGTCTGGCGCAACTAGCACTTTCACTGACACTAAATCTGATGAACTTATTTCAGTAGTTCCTTTCTCTAACTGTTGTTTGTTATCTTGATGTATTTGTTATATATTTCACATAAAAGAAAGCTTTTTAACAGCTTCAATTTCTGTTTCTCTTGGCTACTACTATATGAAACACTTGAGTTACACGATGTACATCACTGAAAGAAACTAACAGTAGGCATCATTACACACTTAGAAATCTCACCTTTAAACATTTACCGTAATACAACACAACGCATAAAATAAAATATATTTTTTCAGTATAAAACATTTCTAACAAATTTGTAAATGAAAAAAAGTATTGACTTAAAAGCATAGTATCAATTCATATTAGCAGGAATCAGTAAAAAATCTCCTACCCTGCACTGTCTCCCACCAAACAACTTACAGATTCATCCTCCTCCTCTTCTTCTTCGTCTGCATGGTGGAAGAAATGTCGATAACTTCCGGGATTTATTTCTGTATCTTCAGGTCCAACAAAGAATCTGGGGGCTTCACTCATTCTTGTTTCATTGGGTATAGACGAAATTTAATGATCTACGTTAAAAGCGCGTCTCCATAAATAGCACCCAAAGCCAGGATTCTCATCTGCTAGTTAGCACGCGTGTCTGCTGTATTTCCTTTCTGCTTACACGATGACTGGATCTGTGATGACAGTTCGGTGGCAAAAGCTTTGTTCTCAGACGTCAGCGCTTCATTGTTGATGTGTGTAAAGTACAGCAAGGCTACCGCTTCCCTGAGGTGATACAGCTATTGTTTACCTGAAATGCAGTAAAAAATTAATTGAGAATGTACTTCAAAAATATACATGTACAAACAATTTTAAGGGACACATAAAATCAGCACATAGAACTTTACAAATACCATCAAAACGGAAATGTATTTCACAAATCAACAAACATGAAAATATTTAGCTAAATGCATCAGAAATTTGACAAGATACAAAATAAAAGAATCTATACTAAGTTCTTCAAGTTCAAAAGTATCTAACAAATTGAGAAGATTCAAATTTTTAAAAAATTACCTTACTATTTTAATACATAAAAATTACATTAATATTTAAATATTAATGCAATTTTTTAAAAATTTGAATCTTCTCAATTTGTTAGATAAATGAAATATGTCCATCAGCACATATTTCAGAAGTATTTGAGGGGCCGGGGAGATGGCTCAGTGGAATAAGCGCTTCCCTGGCAAGTGCCAGGGCCTGAGTTCAATGTCCAGTTCCGCCAACAGAAGTATTTGAAGGAAATATGCAGATTAAAATACTGAAAACGTGGACCCTAAACCACTCACAATTGAACATTATGTGAAATTATATGAACTCAGTTTGAAAACAGTCTTTGCCAGGTATGGTACTGTGCACTTGTAATCCAAGCATTCTAGAGGTCTGAGGCAGGAGAACCACAAGTTCAAGCCGAGCCTTGGTTACTCAATGACTTAAACTGCTTCAGTCCAAAAACTTGTAAAACACTCTAGGAATGTTCCTCGGTGCAAGGGCCCTGGGTTCCATACCTAGTACCAAAAAATGTAAGTAATTTTTTAGGGAATGTAAATCCATCCTGGTCTTAGGTCAACAATAATAATAACAAATGACTAGAGCGAAAAGATTTCATTCCAAAAATAGCTCTTAAAACTTGTAAAGGTTAAAAATTTTTAAGCAAATTTCATATGTGTGAGTAGAAATTAACCTTGCCTACAACCTATGGAGTACAAAGTGTGCAGCCCATAGATTTTTTCCCCTAAGTATGAATGAATGATATGTCCTCTTTTTTCACTTAACTCAAAATCAGTTTATTCCTTAATGTGCTTCAGGTACACATCTATATATTCATTGAGTATAAGCTGAGATCCGCAATCATGTCTTTTTCATTCACTTGAAGAAAGGCAACAGACAAATCAACAAATAAATGTATGTCAGGAAGTCCTTGCTAATAAGACATTTAAGTAGGAATATAAATTCAGTTAGGAAGTCAGCTAAGGGTTATCAGAGCATTGCATGAAAGAAACATAAAATCAAAAAGCAGAAATGTGGGGGCTGGAGAGATGGCTCAGTGGTCTAAAGCACCTACTTGGAACAAGCTTGGCAAAGCACAGGGACCGCGGTTCGATCCTCCAGCACCAC